GAGTGCTGGACACCTCTTAGTTGCCTGGTTTGTCACTGAGGCTTCCTCCCTGCTTCCCAGCTGGAATCCAGAGTGGAGTGTGGCAGGGAGGTGTCCCAGCTGACCCTGGGACTGAGAGCTGCCCTGGCTGCTGCCAAGGACAAGGGGGATGAGTGTAATTAAATAATTCAGTTTGCTGTGAGGAGGATTTATAGCCTCAGCCTCAGACAGCACAGTTGTTGTTACCCATTAGAATCTGGGCTTAATGCCCTCCCTCCCTGTCCTACAGAATTTCAAAGTGCCTGGTTTATTTAAATTGATAGACTCACTCCTATTGCATTCCTCCCCTCCTTCCAAATCGAGGGGCTGGATTAATTCTTCTGCATGAGTCTGTTCTGTGCTGCTGGCTCAGCAGCTGTGTGTCATTGGCTGCTCTCAGCAACCAAAAAGAAATGCTGATGGAATCTGCCTGCTTTTGTTCACAGAAAGATGAGCCAGATGCTTTTAAAGAATTGGGAACAGGCAACAGAATTGCTACTTGGTTGTTTTATGTAAGTGATACATTTCTGCCATCTGTCACTGCATATTCTATACCATGGAATTATTTAATTCTGCTTTTCTTTCATTCTTTTTTACTGAAGGGACTTGCCAGTGAAGCAGCCACTAACTTTGGGTTAACACATATGGGGGGGGTCTTCTTACCCAGACTTTGTGGTTTTTCCATGTGTCTTAAGGAGGATTTTCCCCCCAGATTGGAGCATTAGCTTAAATTATTTGCCTGCCTGTTTATTTTTGTATCTGCATCAGTGTTTACAGCATGTTCACAGCCTCAACACTCAAGTGGGAGGGACAAGGCTGGGACTGCACTGGGAACAGAGGGGGTTTGGCCTTCTTAAGGGATTTATGTCAAAATTAAACTTCACTTCCACTAAAAAGTGAGATTTTATCAGCCTGAACTCACCTGTCCTTCCCCACCTGTTCAGATGAGTGATGTGTCAGCAGGGGGAGCCACGGTCTTCCCTGAAGTGGGAGCCAGCGTTTGGCCCAGAAAGGTGAGCAGGATTGATCCAGCAGATAAATCCACTCCTCCCCACCTACCCACACAGAACAGAGCTTGAAAACGAATCTTTAAAATAACTGTAAGCACCTCTGTGCTGTCACAACAGTGCTATGATTTTCCTTAAGTGCAGCAACTGGAGCTGTGCTGGTGATTCCAAGGGCCCTGATATTCCATGTGTGGATGCAAATGCAAAACATTTAAATACTCCAAAACACATCTTGAAAATACTCAAATCTGTGAGTTGCTTTAATCTTGAGGCATCTGTAGGAAATTTTCCTGTCAGATATTTCCTTCAAGCAAGGCTTGCCTTTGCTGCCCTGCTGCTCAGCTTTAGTAAATAATCTTGGCTCTCTTAAACTGGTCAGGAATTGAATGAAACTGGCTTAGGATTTTTAAAAAAAAATTAAGAGAAGTATACAGTAAGTCAAAGGAGACTGATTCCTAAGAATAAGAATATGGAAAAGAGCCTTCCCTTTAAAAGGAGGATCTGAAACACAAATGCACCTACCTTTGCCTTAGTGTGTGTGGTACAGAGCACAGGGCTGAGTGTCCCTGCCATTCCCAGGGAACAGCTGTGTTCTGGTACAATCTCTGGTGTGACACTGTGTTGTACAGAGCACAGGGCTGAGTGTCCCTGCCATTCCCAGGGAACAGCTGTGTTCTGGTACAATCTCTTCCCGAGTGGAGAAGGCGATTACAGCACGCGGCACGCGGCCTGCCCGGTGCTAGTGGGAAACAAATGGGGTGAGTACCTGCCTCTGACCTGAGTCTGGGCTCTGCTGGGGGGTGGCTTGGCTTTATTTTTCCTTTAGACTTCAGAAATTACATTCTTTGTAAAAAAATATATTTACTTTACCTCATCTCTCTCTATAAGTTAAATATATTTTATATAGTAGCATATTTCATTATGTGCATAAAGGAAATTAATACTATATCTACTTTAAGAGTAGCTATGTCTACTTTAAGAGTTTTTGTAGCTTTGCAGCCATACTGGAAGGATTTTTGGTTGGTTGGTTGTTTTGTTAGACTAACTTCACAGATCTGTGCATGGCAGTGGGGTTGGAATGAGAGACTCTTTTAAGGCCCCTTCCAACCCAAACCATTCTGTGATTAAAACCCTTGAGCAAACTAAGATAATCCTGTGCTTAACTAAAAGCTTGCCTAGAGCATATTTAGCTTCAGCAGAGAGGAGCTGAGCACGTGCAGTGATGCAGTCCCTTTGTGTCTTTGCAGTCTCCAATAAGTGGCTCCACGAGCGGGGGCAGGAGTTCCGCCGGCCGTGCACGCTATCGGAGCTGGAATGAGGCAGCCCGGGCTCCTGAGTGCTCAGGGTGTGGGGAATGCACACCCTGCCAGTTTACATGACTAACAAACACTCCACTACAGGTTCACCCCGCCCAGCTCAGCTGTGGACAGGACAAACGTGCTTTTGGTTCCCTCCAAATCCCCCCCAAGGTTTATCAACAGAAAATATTGAGGTTGACAAGTATTACTGAAAAAGAAGGACAAAATACAGATAAATATAGATGAGGGCCACAACTTACAGTGGTGTTGTGTGTGGTGTTCCTGTCACCATCATCCCTCTGAGCAGTGTGGGCAGCCTGGGGTTGTCTGGAGTCTTCCTCACACCTGCCAGGCTTAGGGCAGGATCATTGCCTGGGAGGGCTCCCTTCTAAGGAATGCTGAATTAAACCCATTCCTATTCCTCAATTCCCAGACACTTGACTCTTTGCTTTCCTAGAGTGCCTGACCACTGCAGGCTTACTTTGCTGGAAAACAGGTTATTATCATGTTTTAGCCTGATTTTCCACTTCCACAAAAGCCCCACTTTTTAAACTTGTCTTCCTTCTCAGCCTTTGTGGAGAATTTGGCTCTTAATCTTGGCCACATGAGCCAGCAGTTCCACAGGCAGTCAGGATGCTTCCACAGTGTCAGAGCAGCCTGGGAACACCCACAGCCCATCTCCCCTCCTCTTTCTGCAATGTTTGTCCACAAGAACAAATGCTGCTTTTGTTCTGTCCTGGCAGCCAGCTCTTCCCTCTGCTCCTCGGGCAGCAGGGGTGGGGATGTTCCCATCTTCATTAATCAAAATTGTCGTGCCTTAGGACACTGGAATTTCAAATTGGTTCTGAGACTTCAGGTGCTGAGGTAACACAGAGTCCTCACAGAATGCTCCCTGTCCTTTTTCTCCTCCCAGCTCTCGAGGTTTCAGGAGAGACTCTCAGCCTATTTATAGTCCTGAACCTTTTTTAGATGCAGGCTCACTTTCCTGAACCCTTTCCCTTCCACAGGAAGATTTTAGCAAAATATCCAAATATCTCACTAGCACGAGGACAAAAATCAAAGGAAGCTGCACCTGCCTCTACCTAAACAGTCCAATTTTCTGGATGATGATGATTTTACTGATTTAGGGGTCAAGCCTGAAGTCTTTACCAAGGGAAAAATTCCAATTTTGGTTAATTGGATTTTCTGCCTCAATAAAATCTTGACAGTTGAGCCAAAACTTACAAAACCTATTGTTAAATGTGCTAGAAATACCTCTGGATTACTGGGAATGCAGTTTAAGGTACTATAGTTGGAGGAACTGCATACTTTCAGAATACACTTTAAAAGGTCTTTGCTGGAAAATAATTGTTAAATTTCTACTGAGCCTGGTAGCAGTGGGACCCACAGAACTGCCCCTCCTTAGCCCTGCACCTCCCTGAATTTTGCCTGGCTTTTGGCAGCTGGAAAACAAGGTCCATCCATAAAGTGAGAACACAAAGTCTGCACAGTCCCATCTGTCCTGCTCATTTACCAAGAGCAGGAGCTGATATAAATAAATTCACCCCAGAACTGAATTAGCAGAGCTGATCTTCGAGCACCTATTTGTAATAATTAAAAAAAACCCCAGACCTGTAAGATTTGTGCCTACCTGAGTTTTCTCACTTTTTCATCTCTTGCTCTTCCTATCCATGGTTCTCTCTTTTCCCTTTCCCTTCTCTTAGTTTGTTAAGCTCCAAAAAGTTAACCATGGCTGCAGGTACCTCCCACCATGTCCCTGCAAGCAAAGGGGACAATGAACAGTGGGAATCCTGCCTTTGAGGCATCCATAAATGCTGGCAGGGAAGCCAATCCTACCTAGTAAAGGAGCACAGAACAAAATCCCTGTACTGCCATCAGGAACAGGTATGGAAAACGCCTGCATTTGCTCTTACTGTCCCATCTCTGTTCAACACTCACCAAAGCATGAAAAAAAGCCAGAGTTGAGGAATTTTGTTCAGCAGTTCCCTCCCTCACCTCAATACCAGTGCGTGCTTGCAGTGTTAAACAGCATCAGTCTCAGGCATTGCTTGGGGAGTACAAATGTTCTGGTGCACGACTTTTTAAAGCAGTGAACCACTCACAGATAATTCTTCAGGAAAGAATTTTCTGCTTTTGACAGTAGAAAATTTTACTTGGTTAAAGGAGAAAAAAATCTCTCAAAATTGAATCTCCAGTCTGCTGGGACACATCAGGAATGTTCCAGATTATGACAACAGGGTTGGCTTAGATTTTTAAACTGCAGACAATCCTTATTTCTTCTCCCTCCACTGCAGTGGTGTCCATGTATCCAATGCTGACTGTGTAAGGGATTACACTGGTGCTGCTGCTTCTGCCTTATCCCATCATTTCTCAGAGGGCTGTTGGATCCCCATCGTGGCTCCTGTGTGAATCTAGTTTTGTATTAAACATGATTGAAAACTGTCTGGGCTCACAGTGACTGACAACTGCCTTACTGTTACCGTTTTTGTAATAAAATTTTTAATGTAAAAAAAAAGTGAACAGGCTTAAAATAAAAGCCACTGCCATTAGCAGTGAGAAATCCTCCACATCCAACTCTCCTTGTATGTGGCTGCCATAAATCTGATCACACACAGTTTTATCACCAGAGGTTTATCACCATTTGTGGAAACCAAGCTCCTCTGTTTCTCTTCAGCATCTCACTGGGCAGGTGCAGGAGCTGCTCCTGCCCCAAATTCCTGTTCTACACTAAACTTGTGTCTCCACTGGGAGCACTCAGCACTAAAGGGCTGCAAGCGGGGAGGGCAGATAATGCTGGGCTGAAAGCAGGATCAGCTGTTGAGGGTCTCTTTTCCAGGAGTGGCAAATCTATTTTGTGAAGCGAGAAAGTCAAACAACCACTTACCCTGGTTCTAGGGAGGGGAAGAAAGCACCAGAGACTCCAACAGCACAATAAACTCACATGTGGGAAGGTCAGGCTGGCCTCTTCCATGACCAAAACCTCTGGGGTCTGTACACCACAGGCATCCCTGGACTTCACCCTGCAGAGCAGTGGAGCTTGTGCTTAATTCCCATCATCAGGAACCTGCAAAAAGCACAGCAGGGGCTGTTGAGGGGCCTGGATTCTTCTGCCTGTGGAACGGAGCTGCCTGGGAACACCCACAGCCCATCTCCCCTCCTCTGCAGGGAGGGCAGTGCCCCAACACAGCTGATGTGAGCACACGTTTGAAATAAGCCTGAGGAGCACCAGCACTGTTTGATTTTGGAAAGGTGAAGGGGTTCCCTCCCCAGCTACCCTGTACTGCTGAGCTGCTGCCCTGCCCCTGCCCCTGCCAAGATGGGCCTGGGAGGAAGGGAGGGGCTGTGGATCAGCCCTGTCCCACTCCAAGCAGTGACTTCCCACCATCCTACCTGGGTCCCTGGGGCTCTTCTGGCACAGCTGCAGCTGAAGGGTGACCGTGGGGGGTCACCAGCATGGGAGGAACCCAGCAAGGGTAAGGATCACAGCAGCTGCAGCTGAAAAGGCAGAAAAGGTCAGAGATAGGGAGAAATGCCTCTGAATGTCACAGGGCAGGATAAGATGAAGAGAAAGGAAAGGGTCTGACAGGATCATAGAATTCCAGACTGGTTTGGGTTGGAAGGTATTTAAAACTCATCTAGTTCCACCCCCTGCCATGGGAGGGATGCCTTCCACTATCCCAGGCCTTGTCCAGCCTGGCCTTGGACACTTCCAGGGATCCAGGGGCAGCCACAGCTCTACTGGGCAGCCTCCTCAGGGCCTCTCCACCCTCACAACATAGAAGTTCTTCCCAATATCCCCATCTATCCCTGCCCTCTGTCAGTTTGATGCCCTTCTCCTGTCACTCCAGCCCCTCTCCAGCTCTCCTGGAGTTCCTAAAGGCACTGAAAGGGGCTCTGAGGTCTCCACACTTTTCTGTTTTCCAGCTGAACAGTCCCAGTTCTCCTAGCCTTTCCTCCCAGCAGAGCTGCTGCATCCCTCTGCTCATCCTGGTGCCTCCCCTGGGCTCTCTCCAGCAGCTCCAGGTCCTTCCTGTGCTGGCTCCAGGGCTGGGGCAGCTCTGGAGGTGGGGTCTCAGCTGAGCCCAGGGGCAGCACCCTCTCTACAGCTGGGTGAAAGCAGCACAAGGGATCTGCCCACGGACTCCCAGAGAGACCGGACCTGCCCACACCCTTGAGCTCGGCCCCCTTAGGGAGGGGGTCTTTAACCACCCCACCCAGCCTCTCCCGGCTGCCGGACTCTGACCTGGCTCGGAGGACTCGGGGATTTCACCATCGACCCGCAGCTCTCTCTCCTCCCCATAATCAGTGACTCAGCTGGCTCCCAAGCCGGGCTTTGGAGCAGCCACGGATCACCCACTAACCTGAGCCACCAGCTGCCTCTTCCCCCGGCTAAACATCCACCAGCAGCTCCCTGAGCCAGCCAAAGCCGATGGAAAAGGAGCTCGGTCCCTCTATCCCACGTCCTCCCCAGCAGAGTGGCACGGGCAGGATCCTGGCACAGCCACGACGTGCTGGGAAGGAGGAATGCAGCACAGGAGCTGCAGCTCGGCTCCTGATGCGGAGCCAAGAGGGCTTTTCCAGCTCCGTCTGGGATGGGGCTCATTGCCACAGGCGCGGGGACACCGGACGCAGGGACAGGACGGGTGTAGTCCCCTCTCCCTCCCAGCCCAGGAGCGCTGCCAGGAGCCTGCAGTGTCCCGGGAACGCGTGACTCACCGCCGCTCTATATTTAAGCATTACGGAGGCAGGAATGAATGCACGCAGTCAGGAGCTGCCTATCCCGAGGTCAGCACCAGGCTCAGGAAGCATTTGTCAGAGTTCACCACCGTGGCAAAAAGCATCTGCACCCCTTAAATCTTCAGAGAGAGAAAAGCTGGCGCAGGGAAGGGGGTTTTGTAACTGCAGCGGGTCAAAGCCAGACCAGAGAACCTGCAGGGTCGCACTGTGCACATCCACAGCTCCTCACTGCTGCAGCTGCCGAGCCACTCCCCGAGGGAAAACTGGAGGTCACTTTTACCCAATCCTACATTTTTCCTGCTCTTCAGGTCTTGCCGTCTGGGCACAACCGAGGTATTTGCAGCTGGACTGAAAAGCTCTCAGGAGACTGGCTCGAGGAGGGAAGGAAGGAAGCAGAAGGAAGGAAGGAAGGAGAGTGGCTCATCCCCGGGGCAGGGCAAAGGGGCTGCCACGTTTTGGAAAAGCAGTAAACTGCTTTTTACTCACCAACCTTTGCTTCGGGATCAGTGACAAACTAACAGGAAAGTTTCTGACTCCTCTTTACTCAGGCTCTGCCCTCTGCCAGCTGCTCCCTCCCCGCCCTGTTCAGCTTTCCCAATTCCAATTGATTTTGCAAACAGCCTGGGTGCTGCAGAGCCACCAGCTCCAGGCTGCATGCCCTGCCCATGCCACATTCCCTGTGGTTTGCCTCCTCTGCAGTCCTGCCAGCATTTTCCCCCTCTCTCTTTGCCTTCAGCAGCACATGGATCAGTCAGCAGGGACCGAGGGATGACAAAGAAAGCTGTGTTCTGGAATTGCCTCCAGAACAACCCTAAAAGGCTCTACATAAAAGCAGGACACTATGCACAGACACCCAGAGGCTCTTACACATTTCCAAGCTAGTCCCCAATAGCTGGTTTGCTCTTTTTTACATTAATTTCTGCCAGGCTATTGGCAAATGCTGGGAGCACTGGGACTGTGATCTGGAGTGTCAGGCAGGGCAGGGACTGAACCAGCAGAGACACGAAGGCCCCACTCACTGCAAGACACAGCATGGGACTCTTGAATCAGTGCCCTGCACTGGGGCACTGACAACAAATTCCAGGGACCATTTCCACCCATGACTGACAGAAGAGTCCCCAGCATGGTCTGAACAGCAGGAGAGGCCTGAGCTCTCCAGTGCTCCTGCAGGGAAGTCCTCACTTCCCCAGCACCCCCTCTGCCATGTGCCAGGGTGACACAGATGTCACAAAAGGCTTACTCGAGGCAGGGATTTGCTGATTCCCAAGCTGGCAACCTCCCTTTCCCTCTGCATCTGTGTTTATCTCCCCAAAGGCAAAGCTGGTTTGAGGCTCCCCTGGGAGCTCCTGCACTCCTAAATGTCCCCTCACCCAAAAAGTCAGCCCTGGCAGTCATGAGCCTCAGGACAGGTGGAAAAAGCAGGCAGCAGCTACCTCTGGCTCCACACCATTGCACAGGAGAGGCACTAACCAGCTTGTTTGTTCCCCCTTTCTCTGACTTACCTGTCTAAGAAACCAAGACTTGGCTGTGGTTCCTCCTCCTTATCCCATGTCTGGAGCTTATCACCCAGGGCCATGCGCAGACACACAGACAGTGCCATGGAGCTCTGGCCCAGAAGCAGTAATGCAATGGGGCTAAACTTCCTGCAAAGCAATAAAATGCCAGAATTTGCATTTGTGTTTGGCATAGATTTGAAATGCCTGATTGTGTGTTTGGCACAGATTTGAAAGCTCCTCCTGGGAGGCAGTGCTGTGCTGGGGCACATCTGAAAAGCTTTCTAAGAGCAGCCAGAACCTTCCCACACCATTTCCCTTCTCTATTCTTCGTGAGTGGCTTGCTTTGTCTTTTGCTGTTGGTGTTAATTTGGTTGCTTTCTTTTTAATGAGCAACTTTGAACCCTCCACCAGCTGAGCAGGCCCCTGGGTCCAGGCAGGCCTGTCCCACTCCAGAGCCAGGAGCTGCAGCTGTCCCACAACCCATTCCCTGGCTCAGGTCTCAGCGCCAACCTTTCCTCCTGGGTCACCTGTGCTACGCTTAACTTACATTACACAGGAGCTGTAACAAGCAGCCCTGTAACATCAGCCATATAAAGGCAATACTCACCTACCACACTGATCCTGGAAGTGGCGGTGATGCCAAGGAATTGCCCTGAATGTAGTGCTTGTCCCAAACTTCTCCAAGCTGCGGGATCAACCCCTCCGAGGCTCCGTGGGCCCTTGGGATTTGCTAGGAGCAATACAGCCAGCAGGCGGGCTGGGTGAAGCTCTCATCCCACCCCTCCCTGTGCCCAGGAGGCCTGGGGAAAAGGCAAGGGGTGCTCCTCAGCCTGCCTGAGCAGCACAAATGTTGGACAGAGAAATACTCTTCACGTCCCAGCAGGCTGGGGAGGGAGTGCAGTGCCCTGGGGAGAGAGAACCCGCTCAGGGGTGAGGGAGGGGTCCCTCCTGGGGAGCTGCAGCCATGGGGACCGAGCTGTCCCAGCGGGATTGTGCAAACTCCCAGCTCCGGGAGCTGAACTCGCTCCGTATCTCGGCGCTGCACTTTGCCCCCGGCTGCCGTGACCTCACGCCGGCTCCCCGGGCAGCGTTTAAAGTCCAGGCAGAGCGGTGCCGCTGCCTCCTGCCCAAGCAGCTCATCCCCGCCGCCGCCGCTGCCCCTCGGCCTGCCCGGCTCGGGCTCGGGCCTGCAGCATGCGGCTGCTGCTGCGGGCAGCGCTCCTGTGCCTCACCCTGCGCCTGGGGCACGGCTCCGAGGAGGCAGCGCCCGGCAGCCCCGGCCAGCAGGACTCCCAGGCAGTGTCATCCTACTCCGACTGGGGCATCGACACCATCCGGGATGGCTTTGAGACGGTGAACAGCTACTTCGACTCCTTCTTGGAACTGCTTGGGGGGAAAAACGGAGTCTGTCAGTACCGCTGTCGATATGGTAAGTGAACCTCACTGCTGCTGGCTCCTCTCTCCTCGCCCTTTCCCCTCTCTCCCTCTCCCTCCCTGCGGCCACGAGCAGCTCCTCCTATCCAGGAGCTGCCCCCGGCAGTGCTAAGGGTCACAACTCCTGTGCCAGTGCCAGCACAGGGACACTGAGCCCCCTTCCCCAACAGAGGCCAGCTCTCCAAGGCACCGCACACAGGACAGCAGGGGAGGATGCAGCCTTCCCTGCCAGGGCACACAGTCCCCAGGCTGTGAGGGCACACAGCACCCGGGCTGTGAGGGCACACAGCACCCGGGCTGGGAGGGCACACAGTACCCCGGCTGTGAGGGCACACAGTACCCAGCTGTGAGGGCACACAGTACCTGGGCTGTGAGGGCACACAGTCCCCGGGCTGTGAGGGCACACAGTACCTGGGCTGTGAGGGCACACAGTACCCGGGCTGTGAGGGCACACAGTACCCAGACTGCCAGGGCACACAGTACCTGGGCTGTGAGGGCACACAGTACCCGGCTGTGAGGGCACACAGCACCTGGGCTGGGAGGGCACACAGTACCCAGCTGTGAGGGCACACAGTACCCAGCTGTGAGGGCACACAGCACCCAGCCTGTGAGGGCACACAGGTACCCGGCTGTGAGGGCACACAGCACCTGGGCTGGGAGGGCACACAGTACCTGGGCTGACCCGCTGCCCGGAGCCTGGCACAGCACAGGGAGGGGAGGCTAATCTCAGCAACCTTCGGAGTGTCCTTATCCAGCAGCTGTGAGCTGGCCACTGCCGAGGGCTGCAGGAGGAGAGATAACAGCGGGACAAACCACACGTCACCGGGAGGAGCCTTCAGTGCTCAAGGCAGAAGGAGGCAGCTCCTGCTTGCTTTGGAATTCACTTTTTGGTGGTTTACCAAAAAGGGTTAGTTTGGCTTGTCCTGGGGGCAGGATGAAGGGGGTGACATCTTTGGGAGGGCAGGGCAGGGGATGGGGTGCACAGGGCTGTGGGGTGACAGGGCCACAGGCAGCACCGGCCATCATCAGGGTACCTGTGGGAATGACCTGCTTAGGAACCAGCCAGGAGTTTTCCCACAGATTGTATCCTCTCCTCAGCCTCCTACAACTGTCCCACAGCAACATCTTGTCCTGTCACCTCAGCCTGCCCAGCCACAGCTTCACCCCACACCCCTAGTGACCACCTGGGAAAGAAGCTTGTGAGCACAAGGGATTTCAACCCCTCTCCTCCCCAGAGCACTATTTTTCACGGACAGAGTCAATGCTTTGGGGAGACCCCACTGACTCTGTCTCAGTCTGTACAGATCCCATGGACCTCCTGCTCTTCCCAGGCCAGCAGCCAGGCCACTGGGACAGAGATGCTGCGGGGCTAGGACCTCAGCTCCCTGTCGGGGGGGAGGTTAAAATCAGTCTGAAAGTTGCTGAGTTGTTTTGTTTCACAAATAATGTCACAGAACCATAGAACAGGCTGAGTTGGAAGGGACCCATCAGATCACTGAGTGCAACTCCTGGCCCTGTGCAGGACACCCCAAGAGTCACACTCTGTGTCTGAAAACGTCCAGAGTCTCCTGGAGCTCTGGTAGCCATGGGACCACTTCTCTGATGAGCCTGGAAGTGCTCACAGTGCTCAACCACCCTCTGGGTGAAAAACCTCTTCCCAACATCCATCTAATGTGTATAAGGTATCCTCCCCCTCCTGCCAGCTCTGCTCCCCAGGCCCCACACTGAGAACAACCAGGGAGCAGCAAGCCAGGAACCTCAACCCAGTGGGATGGAGGAAGCCAGGTACCCCAGCCCATCACCACAGCCCCACAGTGGCCCTGCTCCCTCAGCGTGGGGCTCCCTCAGTCCTCTCTGCAGCGGCTCAGGAGGGTCTGTCTGGAGGAGGTGGTCCCCAGACCCCCCAGCACTCAGGATGAGCCCATCAGGCAGCCTGTCCCATGCTCACGGTGTGGCAGCCCCACGCCATGTGTGTGACAACCTCCTAAAAGTCCAGTCCATGCTCCAAATTCAGAGCAGAAAGGGACTTGCCCTCCTTAATGTAGAGACTGAAACCCCTGGCAGTGGGAAAACCGTGGCTGGGACTGCAGTGTGCCTGAGGCAATGCTGGTACTCAGAGCTGGTTTCAGGGAGCCTCAGGACTCACCACACCATGCAGGAGTTACTGCTTTTGGACACATCCAGGGGGCTCTCCCTGCCTGTCCTTGTGAAAAGCATCTCCAGAGAGCAGCACAAATCCCTGCTGACATCCCAGGAGCCCCTGCATCTTACAGGAACAGTGTTTTACCTAGAAAGGAAAACAAGCCCATTGTTAGCCCAGTTCTCATCCTCTGCTGAACAGCTCATTAATCACTGCCTGAAGGAGGACACTACTGAAATGTTGCCCACATGGCTCCAAGGGGCTTGCTAGACCCTTCCAGGACCATTTGTCCTTGCTAATCTCTGGCGCAGACATTGCAAACTGTGAGAGGAGAGGATGCCAGGATGGTCCCAAACCAGTGAGATCCAGTCCTTGCTCAGAAGGATGAACACAAACTATCTTTGTGCTGAATCAGAGCCTGGTTGCTTTTTCTCCCCAGGCATGAAACAAAAATTATTCCTTCTACTTACTTTCATTTCAGCCAAGAGATACCAATAATAGCTTATTTTGCCACAGTAAAGGTCAGGACTCACCTGTGATTGCCACATCCATCTTCAGCAGAGCACGTGGCTGTTCCAGCTGTAAGACTCTCCTGATTTTTCAGCAGCTACTGAGGTCTGAAAACAACCAACTTGATGGATGAGTCCCTTAAATCAGGACATTAGGGTTACACTAGCATTTACTGGCAAATATACTCCTGCTTACAAAGTCTCACTGGGCATCCCAGGGGAAACAAACAACCTGAGCTGGGAGTGAAGCCCTTGCAGCTTCCTCCTGGCCATGCAAGACTTCACTGCTCTGCTCAGCATTTGGTCCTGAAGGGCTTCAGATGAGGGGGCACCTCCAGGCTGTGGGAAAAGAGCCTTCAAAGCCAGGCTCTCTCCAACAAGGCGCACAAAGCTGGGTGTGTGCAGGCACCTCTGCTCAAAGCCTGCCTGCTTGGGGCACACAAACAACAATGGACCACCCAAAAGTGCAAGGAGCCCTGAGACCATCCATTCACCAAAAATACACTCACTCCCCCTGCCAGTGTCCCAGCACTGCAGTGCCTGAGACCTCCTACATTGCCAGCAGCTGCTCCAGCCAGCTGGCTGCTTTCCAGCCTCTTGGAACAGCTACAACAGCCTGAGGGAATTAAAATGCATCAGGGAAACTCAACTTCAGCTCTAGGGCTGTGGCAACAAGGCATTGGCCTGAAATGTATCTTCTTGCCTGTGAGGATGGGCAAGCAATAAATGATAACAGGAGCACTGAGTCAATGCTTGTAGAGGGCAGGAAGGCCTGATATTCCTGTTTTGCTTTTGCTTTCCTGTTACGTACAAAACAAGATGTGGAAGAGAGGTTAATTGTGGTGCCTTGCACTTGACCTAGCTGAGAAAGAGTACAAAGGGGCACTTTATAAGTTTTAAAGCTCTGTTTTGCAGAGAGGAGGGGACAGGTTTCCTACGAGGGCTTATCCTGAAGGCAGTTTGATGTTTTGTGGATCAGCACAATCCTTATTTACGTTAGGGTTTTTTTCCTCAGGACAGCTTTCTAGAACATTATAATAGCTGTGGCTTCAGCTGAATTGAAGATCTGGAAACACAGCTATTTTTGGCTGGGATCTGGATAATGCAGATAGAACTGGATAACTGGAGGATCTTAAAGGTCCCATCCAGCCCAAGCCATTCTATGATTCTATGATCTCCACATCCCCAAAAATCTCACTCTTACTCAGACTTGCCATCTTATCCCATTCACTGCCAGTGTGCTGCAGGAACAGAATTTTTACAACCAATATTACAAGCAAGTCACTCAAATTTGACTCCATCCTGCAAAACCCACAGCGGATTTTGAACTTTCCTCTGCCTCCTGCATCAGTTCAGGAACATTTGAATTCTGAGTCCCAGCTCCCACTCCCTTCCAAAAAACCATCAAGGCTCTTTTGGAAGGGGAAGATTGCCTGTTGGCATCTCACAGCTGGACAGCATTTCAGTTTGTAATTTATTTGTAGCAAATCTGTTATTTAATCAAAACAGCTCTGGCAAAGTTTAATTGAGAGGTGCTGGGAACACTCCTACATAAGGCCCTCTGAGGCTTTTGGCTGCAATGCCTTCCCAAGGGCACAGCAGATTTATGGTTGAATTAACTACTGGCATTTTAGGTACCTGAACAGAAAAATGGGAAAAGTGTCTTAAATAATTCCTGGTGCTGACAAGAAGCAAGAAGTGGAAATGGAGTTTAAAAGAACCCAACCCTGCCTTGAAGGGCTGAATTAGATCCATTTTATGTCTATATAAATTCTCTAGCCTTGCTCAGGGAAGCAGAAACTTAACCCTTGATGTGACAGGCTTCAGAAGGCCCAGCTCACATGAGTTTTTGTTGGAGCATTCCTGCAGTTTATGTTTTCCTAGAGCAGGGACAGGACCCAGGGAATGGCTGGAGCTGTGTTGGAGCAGGGTTAGGTTGGATATCAGGAAAAGGTTCTTCCCCCAGAGGGTGGTCGAGTACTGAGCAGGCTTCCCTACAAAAATCAGATTAAATGCTGCTGGAAGGTACTGCTAGAGCTGGCTGTGAGCTGGACTCCTCCTACATTGGGTAAATAATTATTCACAGAGGGAGTTCTTGCTCCTTTATGCATATTAAGAAGCAGACTGAGGAAGGTGCAGAGATTAAAGGAATAGAAATAATTTTGCAAAACGTGGCAGTGCATTACCATGGGCAGAAAACGGACCGAGAAGACCTGCTCAGAGCAAGATCAGACATGCAAGGTCTGGCACAGTCTGGGGGACATCCACAGCACACCAACAGTCCAAGAATGAACTGAGGATAGAAAGAAACCCCCTTGCCAAGCTAGCACTGTAAGCAGTAGTGTTTGGGGATGCAGACCAAAGGGGAGCTGCCTGTCACTCCTTGCTTTTTGGACCTAGTCTTGGGAAGATCAGCTTTCCTAACATTTGTCCTTTCTTTTCTTTCCCAGGGAAGGCTCCCATGCCACGGCCTCACTACAAACCCCAAGAACCCAACGGCTGTAGCTCCCATTTTCTGGGGCTCAAGGTACCTGAAATTGTATGTACTGTCCCACCCACCAACCCCACAGGATGCAGCTCTCCATCACATCACCAGCTCATCATTCTGAGCAAGGAAAAGGATGGGCTGGGCTGGGCAGCTTGGTGACAATAACCCATGTGCACACAGTAACACCTGAGTGTATCCTCCACCTCTTCCCACACTTTTTGCCTCTGCCAAGCACTGAATGAAACCCAGAGGCTTTAATACTGCACCTGCTCGTTATCTTAAAGGCAATTAATGAACATATTGGAATCACCAGGAAAAGCCTTCCCAGGAGGCTCTCAGAGCAGGGATTCCTATTTAGCTCATGCATTATTGCTGCCCATGGAGTCTGTAGCAATTAGGCAGATTCCTGCTCTGACAACCCCTCTCTTTGCAGCCCATTTTTCATGTTGGTTTTAATTCCTGAAACTCTATTTCACTGCAAACCTTGTGGCATTTCTGTGGTGCCATTTCTGTACCCAGGCAATCAGAAGTGCGATGAAGGAACAATTCATCTCCTAAATTTTACAAGAGGAAGGGCAAAAAGAGGAATAATTCATAAGAAGCTAACAAGTCCAGTCTCTCCAGGAGACAGGCCTTCTGCCCCATCACCCCCAGCTAAGCTTACAGGGAGCAGAACTCCCCTGACCATGCTGTGCTGGTCCTTGACATCAAGTGTATCTCTGAGAAATAAGACATTAAAATACTTGTGACATGTTTATTAGGCCAAAAATCAAGACCTTGTCAGGTTGTGGGAAAAAGAGGAAAGGAGAAAAGAGGCCTTTGCCACTGTTGGCAAGGACATGGAGCTCTCTGACAAATGAGAACTAGAAAATGGTCGTGGAGGGGCTGTTTCCCACCTCTCTGCCAAACACTGATTCCCTGGGACACAGAGAGGAGAAGAGAATGTGATGTAGCCCGCACTGAGCCTGCACCACTGACACCACTGGGCTGCTCCCTCACCCTTCTTTACATTCCTCCTGCTGCCTGGCTCTCAGGAATAGCTTCTGGAAAAGGAGCCAGCTGGGCTCGGCAGCACCTCACCGCGTCACAGCTGTGTGAGCTGAGGCCAGGACTCAGCCAAGGGACACCTCTTTTGTCTTTCCCCAGCTAGACTTGGGCATCCCTGCCATGACCAAGTGCTGTAACCAGCTGGACATTTGTTATGACACCTGTGGGGCCAACAAGTACCGCTGCGACGCCAAGTTCCGCTGGTGCCTCCACTCCATCTGCTCCGACCTCAAGCGCAGCCTGGGCTTTGTCTCCAAGGTGCAAGGTAAGATCCTGCCTCACATCCCCTGTGCAGGGAGCCCCTTCCTTGCCAAAAAGAAGCAAAACTCTGCAATAGGGAGCAGCATCTCTGTTCTGCACGTGTCACAGGCAGGTGAGAACACAGAGATCTGCCCCCTCTGCCACACACTTCTGTCCCAAGGCTGGAGATATACGGTTATTTACATTTAGAAAACATTACTGTGTGTGAAAAAAACCACAAACAACCCTGGAAGTAATTCCTTCAAAACTTGGAGGCACTCCCATACAGTTCAAACACCTTCATGGGATACCAGAATGCCTTCCAGGGCCATGAAGCACACAATGAAACTTGTACGTGGCCAGGGGCCAGCAAAACTGAGAGAGCCAAGGACAGGGCTCTCAGGGATTTGCTCACAGATAAGAGATGATGATGGCACCAGGGACACACCAGGCTGAGTGGTGGCTGAGCCACTGCAGGCAGCTCAGGATGGCTCAGAAGTGCTAGCAAGTTCTAGTGATGTGGAGCTCAAGTGCCACCCTGGTTTTGCCTAATTTAAAAAGCCTCAGCCTGCAAGTCTGAGAAGAGCTTCTTTGGTAACCTCTGCTGATGTCCTGCTCTAAGGTATCCTTAAATATGCATTTGTTTACCAAAGGTGCAGCCTCATTAGGACACATGGGAAGTCTGCATGACATCAGTAGATGTCTGTAGATGGCTTCCTACCTGGTCACAGATAAATTCATGGAAAGAGTGCCCAGGCCAGCAAGAGAAATCAAAGACGTGGACTGAGACAAAAGTGCTACAGGCTGAGCACAGCCAATCCTTCATGGTCACCCTTATCAACAACTCCTCATGCAGCCAACTTCTTCCCATCTCTTCAGATTTTCCACTTTTTCGTATGATTCCTTCTTGCTCTCTGCTTGCAGCAGGAAAGCAAACCCAGATCCTAGGCAGTTAAGGTGGAGCAGAGCCCACACTCCTGGGCTGAACCAAGCCACCTCTGCCAGGCAGGAGTAGATTCCTCCAGCATCTCTGTCCTGGCTGCTGTAGGAGGCACAGGTAACACCAATGAACCTCTGAGCCATCCTCCCCTCACCTTGGGCTCTACAGATCCTGTCCCCAGGGCTGCTCTGAGCGCCTCCTGTCACAGTCCTCCTCCACAGCCATCTCTTATCTGGCATCCAAAGCCTTGGTTTTCCCACTGACTGACCACAGCCTCTCCTGTGCCTGCCAACTGAGCAGCCCCCTAAGGGAACAGGAGCTCTGAGGTGTTTGGACAGGTTGAGATAAAAGAGAACAGTCCCAAAGGCAAGGCTTTCCCAACTTCATCAAGCATACAGCTATCAGTGTTGGTGCCAGTAAATAAACCCTAAAGATTTATTATTAACCTATTTATTTACTGACAAGCACTTTCAGGGTTGTTTTTTGAGGTGAGGAGGGGCCAGTAGTCAGGCAGTCAGCTGCTCCAGCTGCTGTAGGGTTTTTCACGCTGGCTGGCAGCTGGCATCACGACTCCCAAAAAAGCCTAGAAAGGTTGGTTAATAGTGGCTATAGGCAAAACTGAGAGGAGAAGGAGTAATGTGGAGGCCTCCTGGGAAATCTGTTTGGTAAACAGTGCTGTTTGCAGAGCCCCAGATGATCCATCAACCAGTAGGGCCTCAAAGAGGCAAGAAAGGAGGGGTTTAGGGGGGAGAGAAATTACTGCAACCCTGGGGAGAAGATGTGGACACAGCTCTCTTCACAGAGAGCAGCAGGCACAATTTTTCTCAAGGATTTTTCCTGGGGAAGGCAGTGAGAAGCACAGAGAGAAGAGAAAACAATTCTTATCTCTATTCACTGCGCTTGTTGTTTTGCACATGTGAAATGTGTTATGTTGATTGTTTACCTAAAGTGATTTGTTAATTAGACACTGGTAAAGGTTGTTTTGATTCTTTGACCAATTGGATCTACGTGTGTCGTGACTGCCTGGAGAGAGTCACGGGTTTTTCTTTAGTATCTTTGTAGTATAGTATTTCTTTAATTTAGTTTTAGTATAGTATTAGTGTAATATAGTACAGCTTAATAAAGCAATTGTTCAGCTTTCTAAATCATGGAGTTAGAACACATTATTCCCTGCATTGGAGTTACCCTGCATTGATAAGAAGAGAGAAGGGAGCCTCAGGATTTATAAAAACGCAGTGCTCAGAGAGAAAAGACGACAGCCCACGCTTCCAATGGCAAATGCCATGGAGCTCAGTGCAGGGCTGGGGCTGGGGTGCTCGGGGTTGCCTGTCCTTACCTGGCCACCCTGTCCTTCTCCACAGCCTGTGAATCCATGGCAGACACGGTGTTCAACGCTGTCTGGACCCTGGGCTGCCGGCCCTTCATGAACAGCCAGCGGAGCGCCTGCATTTGCAGCGAGGAGGAGCGCGATGAGCTGTGAGCAAGAGCAGCCACCCAGTGTCTGTGAGCCGCTGCCAGCGCCCCTCTGCAGCACAGAGACTCCTGTCAGCCCCTGGGATGGGCACCTGGGCTGCTGCCAGCGCCCCTCTGCAGCACAGAGACTCCTGTCAGCCCCTGGGATGGGCACCTGGGCCAAGGCACACATCCACAGCAGCCTCGGGGCAGGGCAGGGCAGAGCCAGCCCATGGACAGAGGGCAGCTGTGCCTGCTGCCTGCTGCAGATGCAGTTCCACAGCCCCAGCGCCCCTTCCCAAGCCAGTTCTCTCCAAAGCAAGCAGGATGCAGTGCTGCTTATAAACAGGGGACTTACCTTAAATACATACTATTGCCTCCCCCCACCCTGTAACTCTCTAATTTGCAGTGCAAGGCAGTAGGTTTCTGCAAGCCCTGTGAAATTCCCAGTCCGTGGATATGCTATGTACGTTTTTGCACTGCTGGTGACAGACTGAAGAGGGGTAATTTTCTTTCAGTACATTGCTCACACCCATCCCTGACACTTTCCATCCTGTCATTACACACTCTGACAACCCTGTGTATTTAAATACTTGGTGGACCCTAAACTGATTTAGGACGTCTGGAGAAATCTTAAGCATGAGTTAAGGAGAAGGGCTTGAGGTGTTTGTGGTACAGCATTGATATTCAGGACCAAAGCCCACCATTTATCAGATGTGAAATCACAGCCCTCTCCCCCAGTCTCAGGAGAGGAAGCCACTTTTCTTTGCCAGCGACACCCACATCTATTTAATTAATTTTCTCCTATAGCATTTAACAAAGTTTTGCCCTCAGGATCCTTTTTCACACAAAATGGCTGGGTATCCACCTCCATCTCTTGCACGAGGGAAACAGGAGGCTCACAGTGGCCTTGGATAAGATATTCCAAATTCTGGAGCCTTATCTGTCAGGTGACAGGACTTATGTGCTACCTCTGCGGGGCTGCTATCAGTAGCCTCAGACATCATTGCTTCTAAAATGTGGTTAATACTCCCATCTGTTATGGGGAGCTTTTGTTGCATGCAAAACCAGAATTTAAAGTTGTGCATGGCATTTTGCCTCCACAGAACATTGGCAGACAGCTTTGAGCTGGGTTTCTTGTTGGAAGGATGTTGCTGCTGGGTGTGTGCATGCCATGCCACGTAAATATTTCAGCAGCTCCTGCAAACATATTTATGGTTATGTTCTTCCATCTGCCACAGAGAAGTTAAGGCTGCAAAAGGGTGATTTAACAAGAGTGGAAAGAGTCTGTCTTGGTTGCTTTTCTTCCAGTTTAAATGGGTTTAAAATGTATGCATGGAGCTATAAATTATTTAAGCCCTGTATTCCTGTTCCTGCCAGTCATCTTTGCCTTACAGTGAACAGCAATGAGCTGTTCAGCTGGCCCCAAGTGGGCTGGAACAACAAGAGCCCCCTGGTACCCAGACCAGGAAAATGGAAGTGACTGTGTGAGGTGTACTGGGATGTTTTCCATCACAGAGGACTTCAACACTGTTCAGATGTAATGACAGCCTTTCCTAGCTGGGCTAATGCCACTGGACAGGGAATTCTGCACTGCCAAGGTTCACCACTCTGTCAGAGCATGAGGCTGGACAGACAACCTTGATTATCCAGCTAGGAAACACCTACTTTTGGCTAGGGATGGGAAGGAAACATTCCTCATTCCAGACACTGCCCAAACTTTATATTTTGTTGGTGAAACAGTGCCTGTGGCCAGTTTAAATGTGAACCTACTCCTATGATTAAATGACAAAAAAAAAGTTACAATAGCTATATTGTCTACGTTCAGTAGCTGACTGCATGGCAAATATATCAATTATCTTATAGTTCAAGTGATAGCAGATCAAAGCCAAGCAGCTGCTGGCAGGTGATGACATACACTGGAGAAATCAAAGGCTTCTGAACAAAGTCTCTGTTCCCAGATACTGATGTGCTGGGGACATCGCTAACATAAATCATCATTTCTCCCTGCTTTCAGACCACCATTCATCCCAAAACCCTAGAGACTGCTGCAAGCAGGCTAGCTACTGAATAAGTTCATTTTTCACTGTGCTAATCTGAAAAACCCCACCAGCAGCTCTACGAGGAAATACTTGAACTTTCAAGTGGTGGCAGTGACTCTGGCAAAGCACCAGATAATCCTGTGCAGGAGCAAACCAGCGCATGAACGCAGTAAAACTGCAACCAAACTAAAAACTGCTTCCCCTCCGTGCCACTCTTGCTGTCCAGTGATGTACAGCCATGGAAGCAGCTGATCACAGGATTTTCCAGGTTGCTCCATGAACCTTGGGTCATCTTCAATTCCACCCTGCTCCGGACACAAAGACATGGCTTTGCTCATCCCGTGGCTTCCTCTGGACTTTGTGCATTGGCAGGATTGTTTTCAGCTGCAGAGTGGAAAAGCTGCTTCACATGAATTCATCAGGAAGAATGAAATAATGTGCACAATAACTGAAATAAGCCAGGAAAGGAACTTCTTCCTCCACCACTCCCCCCCACATCCCTTCTGTATAAACAAACAAGACCAGTTGATTCTCCAGAAGGCACCAGATAATTAATTTCATTTCCCAGCTCTCGTTTTATCAAAACAAATATATTTAGTGGAGGCTGTCTGAACAAAGAAGTGACAGTGGGAAACTGCCCCTGTGGTCCTAATGCAGATGTGAATCAGCAGAACAGCAATCCTAGGAGAAGCCTTTTTCCTTTCTTTTTCTTTCACATATGGCTGGATAACACATGAAAAGCATCTTTCCATTTATATCTACTTATCATCATAGAAATATTTTTGTTTACTCTAACACACACACACATGTATTTCCAAGATTGAAAAAGCAGCCGTGAAGCTATTAAAAAAATTATTAAACTCTCAGCCATTAAAAGTTCATTCCTCACTGGAATCTCACTTGCCAGAACAAATAAATCTGTGAAATAGATTGAAATGTTTGAGGTGATTTGTGACTCCCTTCTAAATGGTCCCTTCAAATGGATTCCCCTTCCATTTGAGAGCAGCAGCAAATTTTGGCTTTTGCAGTAATTTGGCTGCTCCAAGCAAAGCAGAACACAGGTGATGAAGGCTGGGGGGCTTCCAGCAGACCTCCAAGCACGCAGGACAGAGCTGCACACTGAGGAGCTTCTTGTAGAAAACCTTGGGAACACACTGCAGAGCCACTGCCACCGGTGGAGATGGATCCTTCTCCTCATCCTCCAGCCCTGCCTGTCCCACGGTGTCCTTCACTGCTGGCTGTGCTTCCTCCCTTCCCCACACCCTAATCCTTTAACACACAGCTCAATGAAGCCCAGAGGAGCCTGAGCTGATCACATCCATTATATTTTCTTCAGAAGGAGCTTGATAGCCCAAAAAGATTCCTGACAACCACGATGCCACCACCACCACCAGTAATTGTGTCCCCTGCCACGGCCACTCAGACAACTCTGCCTTGTCTCCTGTCACCAGGCTCACTGGGGACAGCCCTGTCCTGAGACACATCACCAATGATTGCTATAAATAATTAATGTGCATTCCTCTAATCCTCTGCTGGAACCATGGCCTCGCTAACCAGGGCAATGCATCACAACTTCCAGACAAACACTTGGCAGCAGCACGCATGGGAGGGGGTGTTTATAGATGTTTAATGGTGGCTCTCTTACAATCAAGGTGTATAGTAGCACTTAGGAAAAGCATTTTTGGTGGTGGGAAAAGAGGGAGAAGAATAATGATACACTAAATACAGGAGAAAACACTACTAAACTTCATGCAATTATCAAAAGCCCCTAAAAAATCAAATCTCCTTAAATACCTTTTGCTATTTAAAATCCCATTTGAATGTGCCTGTGATAGATCTGAGCTTTAGCTGCCTGTAATGACAACTGCATTGCTCCAAGGAACTTACACATGATGAGATATATTTTATACATGGTTTTATTAACAGTCACCTGAAATCCTCAGCATCACTCACAGAGCTGCACAGCAAACACACTCAGCTATGATACTATTTGTACTGTCTGATGCAAGAAGGGCTTGGATAACATTTGTTTAGTCAAGGACAAACAGTCCTGGGGCCTGTAGGTGGATGTAGGGAAAGGCAAAGTTGGGTAACACTTCCGGCCTGCAAAGAAACAGGGTCCCTTCAGCTAAAGGACTGTTGGGGAGAAATGCAGATAAAACCAAACTGCTCTGCAGTCCAGGTCACACTCCAAGGGCTGCCTCATGGGCCCAAAACACTTGACAAATAACCACCACGGAATTAAGGAAACGAGTCCTGAGGTTCAAGCGGGGCTTTAACAAATACCTCTGATTTCTCAAACAACCGCAACAGAAGGCAGTGATAAGGAAGGCCAGGGATGCTGTTCCAGAGGGTGGGTGTCAGTCATCAAAGTCGATCCTGATGGGGCCGCCTGTCAGGAGGTGGTTTGCCACGTGAACAGATTCCTTGTCCTGCTGCTCCTCCCGCTGCTCAGCCGACCTGCGCACGCGTCTCCGGCAGCCCTGGGCGCAGCGCGAGGTCTCGTCCAGCGCCCCGCACACCAGGATGCGGCAGTGCAGGAACACCTCCTGAGGTGGGGACACAGCAGCAGGGTCAGTGCACAGCTCTGGGGACCACTGGCACCGCTGCCAGGGCCAGTGCCACAGCATGCCCGTGGCACAGGGTCCGTGTCCAGCATCGCCGCCTGCAGCCAGAACGGCCGCTCCGTCTGTTTGCTTGTGTGCCCTCTCCAGAGAGCCTGGCTGAGGTCTCAGAGGCAAGAGTGGGGACACAGGGAATAGAAGGTGGGAAACGATCCTCCAGATGAAGGGATGAAAATGGCAGGAATCAGCTTGGAAGAGCTCACGTGGACTGGCAGGAGCTGTGTGTCAAGAATCGTGAAGTCTTGCAAGGATTGATGGAGACGTGCAAGAGAATTTCAAGTAAGCTGGGAAAACAAAGCTAGGAAACCAAGGAGAATGCAGGGTGATGAGAGGCTAAGTTGAGGGAAGAGGGAGAATGCAAAGAGCAAGGAGACAGCTGCCTTTTCTCCTTGCACAGCACAGGCAGTGACAGGACTGCTGCTCCCTGCCCTGTGAATGACCAAGAGAGGAAGCAACATCCCTGCAAGCAGCAGCCACAAAGACTTGGAGAGGTTTGAAGCAGAATCCATTGTGCAGGATGGGAGGATGCAGGTTGGAGGCAGCAGGGATGATCAGGAAGCCAAAGAAAATTTCTGAATTTTAGAATCTGTTTTAACCCTACTGGGGCTCTCCAGTAGCTGGAGCAGCAGCTTTATAAGTTTTGGAGCAGGCAGTGTTGGCTGAGCATAACAATGACTGGAAGATCCAATTTCCTCCAACACAGAAAGGAAAGCTATTTGCATTAGGAAAATGCCATTATCCTCCCACTGTCTTCTCACTACAGAGCTGCTGCCCCACAGAGACAGCCTGGTTTCAGGCTTGAATTAAGCAGCATGGCGGCCTTCTGTCTGGAGTGCTGGCATCTGTACTCACAAGAGACACAAGGCTGAAGAGATCCCAAACTAAAAACTGTGTTGTTTTAAAGACAGGGCACTGTGACACGTGCCTGGTGACTGAGAACATTTCTCTCACCAAGCAAACAGAGGTCCACCAAGACCACCTTGGAAGCAACAATGATTTTAGCCTGCTGTGGCATTGATGTTCCAAAACTGTCCTTCATATTTCAATTTTAGTTGTTTTTAACAATCTCTCCTGAAGTACCTTTGGCAGGCTCCTGTAAGGTGCAGCTGCTGAACAGGCAGAGCTGCACCTGCCTTGGGTCAGCCATTCCATACCCTTTTCCAACTTCGTGCTGAGGTTTCTCAGTCATATCAGAGCTGATGAAATATCTAAGAGTTCAGTTTTGAGCTTACCTTGTTGTCTTTGCCCACAAACTTGAACACAGGAACCTGGAAGTGCTTGGCAAGATGGTCCTTTGACGTGTACTGCTTCACGGAATCATCAGAAACACAGCTGAGGAGAGCAGAGGGATAGGCTTTAATGGCTTTCCCAGAAATGGAAAAAAGAAAGAGAAAAGACATTCCAGCCTACTTAACCAGAGAAAGAAAAGGAGGGATTGGTTCTCTCAGGCTCAGCTACCATTTCTGCTGCTTCCTCTTTGGCCACAGGAGAAAAGTCGGGAATGATGGGGGAAAACAGCAGCACTGCTAATAGCATCTCCAGACAGGGAACAGCTCAGCAGCAGAGGGCTGGCAGGACGTGGCCCAGTCCCCTCAGAGAGGGACTGCCAGCGAGCTGCAGGCAAGTCTGTCCTCATTTCACCTCCCTGCAACAGCCTGCAGTGTTATACACTACAGAATGTGCCATGCACTTACTGTATACACATAGATATGCACATAAATTATGCTTAAAATGAAGCAGCCTGCACCCACATTACTAAAATACGACAGATGATGAAAACAACAAAAATCCAGATTTACTTTGCTTTATATCATTTACATTTTTCTTCCTGCTGGATTTGGTCAAACAGCTCAAATTCATTACACTGAAAATTTATAATTTCAGTTTTTCCATCACTAGCAATGCATGATTGTAAGAGAGGTCACAGAACTGCAGGAAAATAAGCTGCTTTTTTAATAAGCTACATTCTAGGTGCAGTGCATTTATAAACTATTACTGCCTATTTAGAGTTTGACAGACAAAAAGTTATGCTGGCTCAATAATTATTACTGATTATTGCAAAGCCTTGAGTATCTTGGGAGGTCCTGAAGCTGCTGTGAAATTGCATTGCAATGCAGCTCATCCTTTCTAGCAAGTTAATTTCGAAAATGTGGACTTTGAAAGATACTTAAAAAACCCCAACAATAAAGCAGTGGTGGAAGAGACAAGAGGTACTGGTGTAGATCAAAGCCTTGCTCTTGCAGCAAGCTTCAGCTCCCATCTTTACACGAGAAATGTGCATGGCATTGTCAGCAATGCTGATGTTTGACATGTTCAGCTGTAAAAGAGCAGTTCTGCCTTCACTGCAGGGAAGTTAGAACTGCTCTTTGGGAATCTCTGTGTTGTCAAAATTCCTTTTTAAACAAGGCATCTGATCATAAGGAATGACAGTTAAAGTCTTTTCAGAGGTGAGTGGCCAAGCTCTAGGGCCATGAAGTCAACTCACAGGCACCTTCTCATTTGTGAGCATATAAACTGTGATGATTATTGGACACTGCCTCAAAATTACTCCTAAATTCCAGGCTTTCCAAAGGTTCTCCACACTGGTGGAAGGAAACCTACTGGTTTGGGGCTAGGGAGAGGGAATGTGGGAGAACACCACAAAGGAGTCAGAGATACATAGACAAAACCAGCTCAGAAACCTCATGAGTCACAAGGGCAACTCCTTTTGCATTTGTGAGGCCAGACCATATCCCACTCTGCTAGGAAACCCCCAGAGACCCTTCTGCCCACTTTGGAGAGGTGAGAAGAGACAAGTGTGGAAGGAAAAGGGGTGGGCCTGGTCAGGATATGGGGAAAATCACCCTATCCCTGTGCATAATGCGTTTGGGGAGCAGAGTGGCAGTGCCATGGGAGCTGTGCTCTGATCCTCTTATTCAGAGTTGCAAGGCTGAAAGGAACAGGCTTGCACAATGAAATAGCCACCTCAGCCTAACAAACAGGGCAGCCTGAGGCATAAGAAGATGAGCTTTGCAATGGAACTACCTTAACCACCCTGTGCTCTGCTGAGCCACAGCTCCTGACCTCAGCAGCGACATGACCTGGCTCCAGATGCCCCAGAGAACTCGGGTTTATCAGCTGTGCCATCGGTCACTGCCTTTGTTCCACTTTGTTTTCAGAAGGCAGGGAATTAACAGAGAAGAGAGCAGTAGAGGCAATTTTCCAATTCCTCAGTCCAAGGTATATCACCTCCAATATAAATAGTGTTTCCCTTTGGATTATGCAGTTAACTCTTGCAGGTCTGATCCTACATAAACTGATAAAAAAATCTCATTTTTATTGCCATGGGCTTTTGGGGCTGGATTTTTAGAAGGAAACTGAGTTACTACAGAAGTGTTTGGAGCAGGGACAATTTACTGCTTTCAGATAATTTAATTTTGAATCACTGGGGCCTGCAGTGATGGCTGCAGAGTGGAGCACTTTTCCCTTCAGTGAAGTTTTAATGCCCTCTGCAGGTACCAAGGGACTGCTGGTGCCATAAATCCTCCAACCCGTGCTGGGGTGAATTCAAAAGATGACATTTCCTGCCTCCTCCCTTTTCTATCCAGCTCAGGTTTTGGCTGCTATTTTGAATCTCATCATTTTCACTTATGGGGAGAAATTAATGAATGTTTGAGGCCTTGACTCTGTGAAGGGTCCACGGGAACAGCCAAGCCAGGGAGCTGATAAAATCAATTTTTCCATTACAGATCTGCTCATAAAGGCCAGCAACGTTGGGCACAGAACGACTGCAGCCTAGGATGGAGGGAGAGCAGGCTAATGCTGAATCCTCTGTCAGGAGGAAATGGAAACAGTATTTTTGGGTACTTTACATTGCAGGACCCTTTTGCTACAAGACAACCACACCAGACTTGCCAGCAGCAGCTGTAACAGTGGATGATTTAGTCTGGCAGCTGAGGACATGATTGTTGTCATCATTGAATGGTCTGGCAGGCAACATACAGGACTTACACAAGCACAGTCCCTTGACTCTCAGGCTACAACTCTTGGGTATGTCTTAGATATTCCTTTGGCTGGATTTCCCTCCCTAGAGGACAGCAGACTGCCTCACAACTATGACATTTCCTCAGAGCTCTCTGGTTAAGCAGCTGGATGCAAACACTCTGCAGCAATGCTGTAGCATGGCACAGTCATTTCAGCACCCAAAGAAGTGTCTGAAAAGAGGGATCACCTCAGGAGCCACAGCTGAGCCCACAGCAAAGCTCCCCAAACCTCTGGTGCAAAAACCACTACAACAGCAAACCCACAGATCTGCACAAAACTATTTTTAGCATATCCTGGAATGATCACCAATCCCAAATACTTCAAAAAATTACAGCCAAACTGAAAGACCCTGAGTTTATTGCACTGACAGGCATCAGGGAGAGTAAAGCAAGGGATTCTCCTGCAGCTCCTACCAGGACTAGCAATGGGCTCTTCTGGCTCGTGCTGTAATAAGGCCATTATGAGAAAATTAAGAAACTTGCTCCAGCTGCTGCAGCAGCTGCCTGGCAGCAGCACATGGCCATGGGAGTTCTGCACATTGGCTTGGCACTCTGTGGCTGGCAGAGAGAGGGTGTCAGGAAAGAGAATCTTTTCTACAGGAGCCAACTCAATTATCCACAAGGCTAGTGACAGGGAAATACATCCTGCAAAGGCTGCACTCAGAGGAACCTCTGTCACTGCCTCCCACTGTTTCTCCCAATTACTTTTGATGGGAGAGGTGGTTTCAGCTTGATGGCTGCTGGTGATTGCTATGACCAGGACAGACAGGCTGCTGTGGAGAGCAGGACAGTGTTTCCTGCATCACACAGACAACTCAGCCCCACTGCCAATTCCCTCTAAATTGCCAGCAAGAGAGGGAACAGTGAACTCACCCATCTTGAATCAGGTAGTACTTCAGGATCTCATCAATTTTGGAGGTGGGAGTGGCAAAGCAGCTCTCCACCAGTGTCTCCAGTCCACTAATGTGCACCAAGGGCTCAATCCCAAAGTACAGGGAGTCCCGAAGCTTGAGGGTGGGAAGATCACCTCTGTAGGGCTCATCAAAGTCTTTGTCCTTGAAGATCTCCAGGGTGAAAGGGAAGACGCCCTGGTTACGGCTCATGATTTCCAAGGGAGAGTTCTTGAGGTTGGGCACGTAGCCCTCGGAGATGGTGTAGCGGCGTGGGAACTCGCAGGTCACCGGGATCAGCAGCTTGCTGGTGCGCACAATGATGTCCCCGTTGCTCCCCGGCGTCTGCTTGGGCAAGCCAGTCACCAGGTTGGTGGCAATGATTTTGTCATTGATTACCTGCAGCAAAGAAAGGGGAGATCATTGAGAAAGACCTCTCTGGGCTGACACTCAAGAGTAGCCACTGAAGGCCCAGCTTGTGACTTTACACCCCACAGCCAGAACGATGCTGCTCATCCTCACAGACCTCACAACTAAGGACCTCGGTCTGCTGGCAATGCACCGCACTTCTGCTACCCCTCTGCTAAGGTGAGTCATTGACCAGTTGCCAGTTTAACCTTTGAAACATTATCAGGAGACCAGAATCTGTCTTAGCAGGAGGATGAAGAGTGAGGGCACTTGTTTCTTCTACCCTCATGAAGCAGGAGGTGAGCAGAAAGCAGCACCCATGCTGTCAGACACACAGTGCTGGAGGGGGGATGGAACAAGCTCTCTGACTGTGGAATGCCAGCCCAGCTCTACTCTGAGGACAGCTGCAGGGCAACACAGGAAAGGGCTCTGAGGGTGCAGCTAAATCAGCTTTGTTCCCCAAGTAAGGCACAGCCAAATCCCCAAATCCCAGAGACTGGGCACTGGGTATACATACATCTACAACGGTTCCACAGGACTTCAGGGAGAAATGGATGTTGACATGAGTGCCATTGGACACGCCTTTGCACGAAGTGTTGATGAGGGAAAGGTCCAGGCCTCCAACCAGGTCCTTTGGGATGTTCACCTCAATAGAGCTGGACTTGCACAGCACTGGAACTGCAAGAGAAGTCCCCAGAATAACAGTCTGTGCTACAACCATACCAGTGAGCTGGAGAAGGGCTATACCAGATATAACTGGGGGAATAAAAGGGGAATCATAGACAGCATTTATGATTATCATCCTAGCACAGCAACCTAACCACCCATCTTGCATTCCCACCTACAGAACACAAACCAGGCCTGTCACTGCCCCAAAGTCTCCAGCCACAGCAATGCTTCAGAAAACAATGAAGACAATCATTGCACTTGCAGCAGAAACTTAGCTGTGCTTTCCAGCTTTACTTAGCACTCAGCACAGATTTGGTTGATATCTCTTGCACTGTGATGTCCTGGAAAGAGCCTTTGCCAGATATGGGTATCAAAATCACTATGCCCCAGGCAAAACCATTTTTTAAGATCCTTAATCAGATTTTACATCAAACCCAGAACACGCTGAAACAAGGCAGAGTAATTCCATATAGATACCGAGCTAAAATGGAAGCACCTCAAAATGCCATAATAATATTTTATAAGCAATAAACCCAGCTCTGACAAACAAACCAAATTAGCTCACTCATTCCACCTCCTTCCAACCTTTAAATTTTAATACAGGCCTCCGTGTGAATTTTTTAAATTAAAATTTCATTGCATAAGAAGCAGGAGAAAACAGACCTTGGACAAAACAGAAAAGGAAAGAAGAGAGAATAATCTTCAATAAAAAAGTAGTTGCTATATATATATTCCTTGGGATTATTCAGTTCAGTTGGAGACAGGACAAACATACTGGTGGCATATATTCTGGTTTCAGCCAGAAAAAAACCAAACCTTTTGCAGGATTTACATTTATTATATTTTAAAACTCCACGACAAAACCTTTTTGCAAATATACCAGTTTCCCGAGATTTTTGCCAAAATTAATTGCAGCCCCAGTCCTTGACATTCCTGTGACCTGCCTTCCCTTAATTTCAATCATGAATTATATAATTTAAGATTATGGATATTTGAAATAAGACACACTGCTAAAACAGGCATTTCAACTCCCTTTAAAAATTTCCCTGTCCCAGCTCAGGTATTTGCAACAGTCTCTGAGTACCTTCAGGGAGGATTTTTGATTAAAAGTTGGTAATTTCAAAGTGATATTCTAAAATGTATGCAGAGTGCCCAAAGCAATATGTTCCCATAATGACACTGCTGGGTTAGAACAGAAGCTTAAAGAACTAAAAATTACCTTAACCTTCCCTGCACTGGCAGCAGAAGGCAAGTGGGAATAACTGAGCATGTCAAATGGCACAGCTCAGGAGCAGACAAAGGGACTTGGAGAACACAGATAATGCAGACAGAGGAACATCCTTTGGAGAACTGATTGGCTCCATCTGGGTTTAAGGACTCGCTGTTCTAGCACTCCTTGATAAATAAGAAAATGTACTGCTTTTATAAAGGTGACATTCAGGGCAAGAGATTTGGATCCCAACTGCAATTCTCCGAAGTTCAGGACTGATTTAGTACAGGATCTCTCTGTTTCTACATGTCTTTGACTGGCACAAAGTGGGAGAAAGAAAAGATTCCATTTTCCCTGTGCTTCAGAGCTGCAGGAGCTGTGTGACCTCCATCACCTGGACACAGAAACAAGGGCAGGAAACCTCTTGACTCAAGCCAACTCGTGGCTATTTGAGAAAACACCCAGTGTGTGCCAGTCAAACATTTTAGTTCTTCACCTCATACTTCTCAGACCACCTGTGAGAGCTGGGAAAGCCTCTTTATTTCCACTTTAAGCTCTGTTTTGCACCAATGCTTCTGAGCATCTGCCCCTGGGAGGAAGCTTCTGTGGCGAGTCCAACACTCATTTCTCTGTTTGCCGTTGTTACTGGCACCATATTCCAGCCTCTGGCTCCTTCCTTGGCCTTTCCAAGTGCTGCTGCTTGGAGCAGAGGCTACCTCCCTGCACAGACTGTTCAGCAGAACAGGCTCTCTGCTGCTGGGGAGCCCTGACCCACTGCTACAACATAAACCTTGCTTACCTGCACAAAAATTCGGGCAGGGGATGGGGGAGAAGAGCATTTCATCCCTACTCTTCAGGAAGAGGTGGGGTACTAGGATGGGCTACAAAATTCTAGGATGATCTGCAAAATTCCAAATATTTTGCTGGCCGGTATCTTTATGGAAAAATTGCAGCCTGTAGACTGTGATTTCTGTGGAAGATTATTAATGTTTGTTCTGAATGTGGAGACAGTGCAGAGGAGGGTAGAGAGGCTGCAGATCCAATTGCTTCAGGCTACTGTGCCTACCCTGCACTGTTAATTGAACCAATATAAACCTGATTAGGTGTCACAAAAAAATTGTGTGGTACAGTTCCATATCTGCTCAGAATTGCAGGCCACAGCATGGGGACATAAATTGATGAATGCAAAAGAACAGGCAATTTCACTTTATGAGATGCTGTATCCTGAGCCCCTGCCTGGCTCCCAGCAGTGCTGCTGCTCTCATTAGCAGCCTCACCAGCAGCAGAAACCCTGGCTGGGAAATCCAGGACTTCCAGCCCTGCTGGGGCTGCCTCAGGGGCCCAGGACTGAAAAACATCACTCTGTTCTGGGCTGGATCCATCAATCAGACCTTCAATCAGTGAGTGTGATCACAGCTCTTGGAAGCCCCCACCTCCCCACCAGCACTGCTGGATCCCAAGTGGGCAATGCTCACCCCTGGGAGCACTGCATTTCTAAAAAGCTTAAAAAGCAGAAATTCCATCAAGCAGAACCATTCCAACTTCCTCTCTGAGGCATACCTACCCTTTTGGCCACCACGAAGCCCAAATCTGTTCCTCCCACTGATGTCTGGGCAGTCTGTGGCACATCAGACCGCAGGAGGTTCTCTGAGCACACCAGAGACTGCTGGTAGCCTGGATGTATTTGCAAAAGAAATCTTTGCAAAAAACCAGGGAGCTTGTTTATTCCATGTGCATGCCATAGGCACAAGTGACTCAGCATGAAGGACTCCCTGTGGAAAGTTCAGATGGAAGGTTCTCCAAGGATAAGGCTGCCCTGGCCTCTACACAGCAGAAGCAACAGTCAATTTTTGGATGCTATCCTGGGCGCTTTTCCAAGGGGCAGCAGGAGCACCTAATATCAAAGCTAGTGCCCTGCTTCAAGGCACAGGAATGCTTACTGGAATGGCATACTTGGAAAAAAACTTGCCTCTCTCTTTAACCCTGTTCTTGGAAGGGACTGGACCGCTTTAGCTGAGAGTTTGAAGTTTGGAGCATGGAAAATGTCAGCTCTAACAGCATAAATTTGTCAGGGGTGTGCACAGAGCATTATAATGGGAGATGTTTGTGGGAAATAGTAGAGGTAAGAAGATTTCCAGAAAGCTGTAAAAGAAGGCATAAGAAACAGAAAGAACAGAGAACCAGCTGCAGCTGCAAAGTCTGAAAATAAAGAAAGTTACAATGGTATAGCAAGCAAGGACATTAAACTACAGCTTGAGTTTTAGGCTTGGCTAAGAGAGACCTTAAAACTGCAGGAAAATATGCTAAGCAAGGTAGTAGAAGGTTTTAAGCTTAATAATGATTTATTGTGCATTGCTAATAGAAAGAAGACAAGCAAGCATTGTGTGAAGCAGGTGTACAGGTCCTTTTAGTAACTGGCTAGAACAATTGTCTGTAAGCTTTAGCAATATGCTGTTGGCTAGAAAGTTTTTAAAATGTTCTGTAACAAAGAAATCTTTGGCTGTTTCTGGCTGTATGTGAGCTTTTAACATCTTCCTATTGTCTCAACCATGTAATGAGGCTGATGCTGCAATAAAAGCTCAAGGATTATATCCCAGCAGAGCTGTTCTGTTCATGAAAACAAACTCCAAACACAATGTTAAGCAGCATTAGTCATAAGGGGACACTGCCCTACAATTAACATGATACAAGATGCACTCAAGCTGGGCCCTGTGGCTGTTCTCCTGCCTGGAGAGAAGAGCAACATCTTCAAGCTCTCACCTTTGGATAGTCTGTCATTGGTAAAAAAGCTCCATTAACCCAACTGGAATGGACAGACTAAGAGAAGACAGCAAAAACAAGAAGAAAAGTTCCTTCAGACATTCTCTCGGGGGACAGAGGCTGCCAGGGAGATTTTTTACCCTTTTTGACTTACCCTGGCAAGTGTGGTTGTCTTCTGACAGCACAAGTCCCCTTGGACATTCACACTGGTAGGTGCCTTCCACTTCAATGCAGGTATGGCTGCAGCCTCCATTGTTATTGTGACAGCCTTCAATTTCTGGGGAAGAAAGGAAAATCAGCACATCCTGCAGGCCCCACAGACCCCTGACCAAACAACAGTCTGAACAATACAACTCAAAGGCAACAGTTTGTCTCCCAGAAAATGAGGTGTAAACCCCTTTTTTAATTGTACTTTAGCATCATGATTTTTTTCTTTCAAATAACCTTAACTGCTTGATTTTTTTAACCCTTTGGGATGAATATCCTAGATGAATACTACTGTTCACAGTAAAACAACAGAACATGAGATAAGCAAATCATAAATATAAAATATTTCTCCCCGAGCCTGCCATCAGAAATCACTGTGTGGTTTTCACTGAAATGTAAATAGAAATCCCACACTCAATCCCACACAATGCATGGAAAATAACAGCCCAAACACCCCATGTGAGTCAAAGCAATGGGTAAAGCATCATAATGTAAATTTTGAGATACTTTAAATCCTACTCAGCCTCACCAGCTGATGCAATCAAGCTAAATCTCTCGCATTTTTTCTTTTTAGCAACAAACTGTGAGGTGGCTCACACCTCACATCCCATCCTCTACCAACTCACAAAGCTGAGGATACATCTTCAGAAATAAAACTCACTAACAAGATTGTAAAAATCCCCAGCAGCAGTGTTAAACTCGTGAAAGGCACCATTCTTCGTACAGAAGGAAATTAAATGATATATCAAAGGCCCTAAAAGCCACCTTGGGAAATGGCAGAAACAAATGAGTTTCCAAACAGACTATTCCAGCCCTGTCAGAAGAGTGCAGCACTAGGGAATAAAAATTGCACAGCTCATTTACGTGATGCCCCAGCAGCTCAGAGCTGGATGTGGCAGGGACAAAGCCCACAGACCATTTTTGGCCCCACACAACTTGACAAGTAACTTAAGGAGCACTCTGCACAGCAGCATTTCCCAGGAAAGTGTCACTGCCTGGATGAGTGATGTACCAGCAGAGCTCAGAAAGCAGATTTAGCTCTTTTGGGTAGCTGAAAAGTGAGGCACATCTGCAGTTGTTTTTCTTGTCTGAGGCCCCACAGTGTCTGTGAACAGCACACAGCAGCTATGCTGTGAGGGGGCACAGTGCTTTTCCACAGCTCACCACAGAAAACATCAGGCACACATCAGTTTCTGCTGGGTTTGCCTATTTCTGCTCAGGGATGTTTGTACATTGTTAGTGACAATACATCAGGCCCACAATTTGGTCTTTAAGCTACCAGTCTAAATTTATCAAGGGTTTTCAACATGGCTGTGCCACCACTGTGAAGGAACTGTGGCAGCTGCACAGAGCAGCAGAGCCCACAGACACCAAAGATCAAAATGCTGCCCTAATCCCAAATCTAACCTCTGTCTGCAGATTGGCACCCCCTCTCCTCAATCTCTATCCTGGGAGGCTAAAGTGACCCCCATGCTCCAGTCTAATGTCATGACATTACCCCATACCTAATGCGAGCTGCCAAAATCCAGTGCAGCTAAATTTGCCCTCACAACTCTACTACACAAATCTCCAGAGATTCAAATCTCCAGATATCAAATCCCAACAAATGCAGCAACAAGTTCTGCCTGGATAACCAATCTTCCACATCCACTGCTGCCTTTCCCCCATGGAGATAAACACAAGCAAATCCTAACAGAAATGGACAAGGCACTGAGAACAACAAGGAGATTTCTCTCCGCTTGCTTAGAAGGATATTTTAATATCAACCCCTCTGGCAAGCACAGAGGTGATATCAGTGACATTTAATCCCAGGTGCAAGGAGCCAAGAGAGGGCCAGCTGCAATGGAATGATTTATAGAGCTTGCAGCAGGCTGTGGTAGCTGAAGCCTCACCTTCACAGGTTTTGCCATCACTTCCCAGCGTGCGCCCGACCCCGCACTCACAGCGGAAGGAATTCTTCAGGTTAACACAGAACTCACTGCAGCCCCCGTTGTTCTGCTCACACTCATTTTCATCTGAAAAAAAACCAGCTCTGGAATGGAATGAATAATCCCACTACAAGTAGTAACACTGACAGTAGCTTTTGAATCTCTTGGTAAAGCTCTGAAAACTCCTCCTAATGTTTTTTAAAGGCTAAAGTGGCTCTGTGTCTGCCCTTCTTTTTTCTTTGAAAGGTACTTTGTTCTCTGAGATTCTAATTTCTCAATGTGATTTAATCTCTGTGTGCAAAAAGCAAATCAAACAGAGAGAAAGGAACAGACATTGTTCTTGCTGAGCCACAGAATGAATGATTTCTCTTAGGCAGGCCAGGATGCTGAAGTTATCAATTAAGGTTCACATGGGGTTTCATCAAAACAGCTTAGAAGATGGCATTTGTTAGGTGTCAGAAGCTTAAAACCAAGAAAAAAAAGAGTATCATTTTAACAGACAGGTCAGAGATGAGCTCTCTCAGGTATCTGTGGTCCCACACACACACAGAACCCACAGCTGGCAGCTGCTGATGGTGTCTCCTTCCACAAGCAATGTGAAATGAGTATTTTTAGCCAAAGGCTTGGCTGGTACCTTGCTTTGGGAGGCAGGAAGCATGTCCAGGAGACCCCCACAGACACTCTGCTTTTCACACACGTGACAGGCTCCACACTTTCCCTTCTAAAAATAAATCTAAAGTGCTTAAGAGTGCTTAAGAATAGAAAGTGAAGAGGGAAAGGGCTATTGCCAAAGGCATGGAGATGATGTTAGAAGGGCCTAGAGATTGTCTTGGTCAAAGGCTGGGCCCAGAAATTCCCCTGACTGGTCCTTCCAAGTTCTACAGCACACACAGATCTCCATCCCTGCTCTTCCCCACTGGTGACAAGCAGCACTTCTGGGATGCAGGCTGGTTCTCTTGAGACTGGATTGGGACAGTGCTGGGCTGATTTTAACCATGGCTCAGTGGGACATGGATCCAGGCATTGAAGAAGTCAAAGGCAATGCACCAAGTTGGTGAATGCGTGACAGGAAGTCTAAGACCTTATTTAACCCGTAAATGAAAATGTAACTCAGGATCAGCTGCTCTGCTCTGGGATTTAAAGCATCTAATGTACTGAGGAGAAGCACAGGGAGGTGCACAGAGTTGCTCAGCCTTCACAGAATGGTCTGGGTTGGAAGGGACCTTAAAGCTCACCTTCTTCCATTCCCTGCCACTATCCCAGGTTGCTCCCAGCCCTGTCCAACCTGGCCTTGGACACTTCCATGGAGGGGGCAGCCACAGCTGCTCTGCTGCATTATTGCAGCAGCTTCAGTCCCCCTCTTTGGGGGAGCTGGGAAAGGAAGCACATTCTCTGTTTAGGAAAGACAAACAGGGATTTATTTGGTTTCTCCATAAGGAGGGCACAGTTGCTCTCGTAGATGTGGTTGCACAATTACTCAGCCCAACAGAAAGTTATTAGAAAGATCATGGAGAGAGCCTCACAAGAGAGGCTGCAGGTAGGTGAACCAGTGTGAGCATTCCAGCTGAGGTGCTGTGCCACCTGGGAATCTCAAGGAGAAGCAGCAGTGCAGAAATCCTGCTCGTGGGGGAAGGAAAGCAGCTGCAGCACACACAGACAGGCTCAGGACTCCTGTGTGCCTCCCCGCTGCAGGAAATCCTTTCCTCTGAGCCTGCCACACATTCACTGAGTGCTAGTGCTTGTCAAGGGCACTTCTGTGACTGGAAGGCTTGCACAGAAGCAGCCAATAAATGCTTTTAATTATCTGAGAGAGCTCAGTTAGCCACTTGGCTGCAGACAAGTGGAACTGCTTAAGCAAAAGCCTTCCCAGAATCACTGGGAGTAATTGTCTACAGCAGGACCAGGCTGCTCCTTCCACACACTGGAATGGCTGTGGGGCCTGCCCTGATGCTCACAGACATGAGGTGTGTGGAGAAGGAAACCACCCATGCCTGCTTTGTCAGGTGTAGCCCCTGTGGAGCAGACTGACCTGCCACACAACCTCCTGGACCACCTCTGCCTTCAGCTTCACCAACAAATCAAGTGACAGATGAGATTCCTCCTCCCCCAAACACCCTTTCCTCCCTCCTCTGCCTATCCATCAGTGTGGCTCTGCAGCTCCCCAACAGCCACCCCTTCCCAGCCCCATGATTTGTCCCATCATTTTCCTGACCTCTCAGTCCAGGTGCTCTCTTCCAGCACCACACACACAACCACAGCCACTTTCTCTTCTCAGAGCTTCATGGGGATTCCCCCACAAATCTCCAAAGCCCACATTCCCCACTCTGCTCTCACCTCCCTCCTGGCCATGCTGGTCTCTGCCACCAAGTGCCAGCTCCCTGAATACGCCCTTGTCATGCTGCCTAAAACCATTGCAGCTGTGGTGAGACTTACAGTTCTTTGGGTCTCCTCAAGGCCCAGGCCCTGGACAATGTCCCAAAAGGGCAGGAAGTATGATGGAGTTTAGTGTGCAGCCCCACAGCAGCCAGCAGAACTTTTTTTGGAGGAGAGATATTCAACAGAATGTGTGAGAGGAAATCTCTAATGCCAGCACTTCCTGAGTGCCACAGTGATACCACAGAATCCTGCACCATGATCTCGCAAAGAGACTCTGCTACTGCCTTCAGCAGCTGAACCATGCAGAAAGCAAATCCAGCCTCACAAACATGGAGCTCCAGGGGCACCAGAATGGATGCAGTCATGGGATGTCATATCTTGGAACCATTTACAGAATCATAGTCCTGGTTCTAGGCAGCAAAGGGGAAAACTGCTCTCAGGATATGTCATTTTTTATAGTGCTTTGTAAGGCAAGGGATTGAGATGTGAGCAACAAAACAAAGGGAAGAAAAGCATCTGCAAGTGGCACGGCTTATTTCCACCCTTACCAAGGCATGTCTGGCCATCAGGTCCGAGTGTCGTACCCGGGGAACACGTGCAGTCACCGGTGTCCAGGCAGGAGTCCTGGCAATCCACCACATCACAGATGTCATAAAAATCTAGGGCATGACAAGAACAAGGTCAGCACAAAGCCCTGAACATGCAAGGAAAGCACAGAATATGTCCCTTCAGCTTCCCACCCTGTGTGCAGCCCCTCAGTTACAGACCTGGCCCACGTTGAAAAAGCTGACCTGCTGAAGCTGCTGAGAAACAATCAAGTTTAATTACTGCTAGGCAGAGATGCAAATTTTGACTTTGGTAGTGAGCCAAGACAAGCCACAGGGCCCACAGGGAGCATTAAATCACTGAGGCCAGGTCAGCTGTGGAAAAATCCTGCTAGAGGAACAAAGCAGGTGAAACCGCCTCGCTGATCCTCCAGGGACAGGCCACCACCTGGAGAAGCCAGGCAGCCTCCTGGGGACCAAGGGGGGCTCAGAGAGGTGACTTACGCCCGCAGTAGGCGTGGAAGCAGACGCTGGGCTTGGTGAGGTGGTACACGTAGTACCCCCCCGGGCAGGCCTTGACCTCGATGGTGGTGTTCCAGAGGCAGCAGTTGCCGCTGAAGCTGGCGCAGGCCTGGCGCCGCACGATGCCGTCGGCCGGGCGCGGGTGGCTGCCGTTCATCCAGACGGGAGCGTGGGTGCCGCAGTGGTTCTCGGGGATGCAGAAGGTGGGCATGGCGTCGCCCGCCATGCCCGTGAAGCGGTACCACTCGCCGTCGATGCCGCTGTCGCACGTGGGCTGCCCGTGCGAGCCGTTGATGCGGTGCTCCGTGTTCCTCCAGGGCTCGTTCAGGCTGATGTAGGCAGAGCAGGGGTCCAGGGCTGGGACACACAGAGAGAGCAGCTGGTAGATACCAAACCGAGTTGTTGATGGATAATTACAAAAGGGTTTGTTTTTTTTTTCTCCCTGACTTACAGAACCGTTGTGATCTGTTCTCAGCACTGGGGAGAAAAGGTGATACCTGCAAACTCCTTGCCTTGTGGAAAACCTGGACAGCTTGCCTTAAAGGTCTTGGAGGAACAAGTAAATTAACAGAGCTCTTAAAACATTATGCAACAGTCTGACTTGCTGTTTAGCTGAAAGGGAAAAAAACAAGATACAAGCAAATCTGAGGTCGAGGTAATGATTTTGCCATAGGAAATACACACTCGGATCTAGCCTAGGACAACAAGCCTTTGTTCAAGTAGTAATTGAGCACTTGCAAGCCCCTCCTGAAGTCACTGGTAACTCTCCCAGCTTGGAGAAATTTACCAGAAAACTGGTAAATCTCCCAGCCTTGGAACAAAGGACTACATCTCAAACAAGTTATGGAGCCTCTTTTAAACCCACCCAACTACAGCCAATGTCAGTCCTCACAGCTGAGCTGCCAAACCTTTTTAATCATTATCTTAAAATCTAGAGGGTGTGAAGGTCTGGATTGGGATCTTCTGGGGAGCAACACATTAAACCAAACCCTCTACACAGCTGTGCTCCTTGCAAGCCCACAAACCCTCCTGTTCTGCACCGGAGATCAGCTGCTTGGGAGTGAAGTGAGTGTTCGTGGGGGCAAGACATGAACACATGGACTTCCTGGCAGTGCTCAAGGAGTGTGTCCCTTTCCAGAGGCCTTTCTGAACCTTCTGCAAATAATTAAAATATGAAAGTACCAGAGGGAGAACATAAATGAAGAATTTAAGTGTTCATTAAATTTTCAATCTACTCCTAATTAACCCTCATTTGGCAGCTTCCTCACTGGAAGTCCAGAGGTTCCACTTTGCCTTAAATTTAATACCTGATTAAGCACAACTTAGCCATGACAAGCAATTCCCTATTAAGCAAAAGGAATGCTAATACTGCACCGAGTAAGGAAAATTGATTACCATTTCCTAAAATTAGGCTAATAAAACCAATCACTCTGACAAAATGCATCTTGGACTGGAACAGCCTCAACTTTCCACAGCACTTTTCTTTTAAAGTTCTAAAGCTGTGCTGTTTTGACAATAGTGTGATGGAGTTTGGGTGAGGGAGGAATACTATGCTCTTTCTACTAGAAACACAGATTATCCTGGCTCGTTATTTTGATTTGTTTCACTGACTTTAAAGTGGGAGCTACAAGTGCTTCAGAGAACAGACTTCAAGTCACTCTTATTTAGCTGTGTCTTCTGTAAATATCTGTCCCACAGATGTGCTACCTCAAAGAAATATCTCACAAATATAACACCTCTCATGCCTTCCTCAGCCACAGATACATTTTGCTTGGTCTCAAATCCAGCATAAAAGGCAGGAGCAGCTGCCAGGGTCAGGAGTGCTGCAGAGCTGGCACAGGGAGTGTGGATCTGGGTTATGGAGGAATCTCCAGTGCCACGATTCAAAGACATGCAGAGGAGCTGGTTCACTGTCACCACAACCAGCCTGGTTCTCCTGAACAGCAGAGAGGGGAATGCAGCAGGGAATCTCTGATGGGATTCACCAGGCATCCCCTCCTGAGCTCTCCTTTTCACCTGCCTCTGCTTGCCTGCCCTTTCCCACAGACAGACAGCAGCAGTGCTGTAAATTCCATCCTCCAAAAGCTGGTTTGACTTCTCCCAAAAGGGAAAGGTAAAACAGAGCTTCCTCTGGGCTTCCCTCAGTGTCATTCCCTTGGTTTCCACAAGAGGATTTGGTGTGGCCTTAGGGTGAGTCACCGAGTGAGAGGAGAAGGTTTTCGTGTTGTTAAAAGCCAAATGAGGTGAAGTGGGAATGCCCTGTCAGCTTCCCAGCTGGGCAGCACTAAAAATACCTACACTCTCATTAGCTTCCATGTAATTATGAAATATCCTTTGTAGACAGACTCTGGGAATGCTCAGCTAGGGAGATTACGTTGTCTCCTAAATATCCAGGAGATAATTTAAAGGCAAAATTTGTTGAGATGAACATGCAGCAGCTCAGAGGGAGCTGGAAGAAGGCACATCAGGGGAACTGAGGTAGCATTCCCTCACATCTTTCATTCCCCTGAGAGCTTCTGGCAGGAATGAGGGGAAGCAAACAAGCAGAAAAAGCAGACAGTGCTCTTTGGAACACTGTACATCCTCACAGACACCTTTGGACTGCCAGTGCTGCCCCACACCAGCCTCCCTGTAAACACCAAGCAGTCTTTGGCAGCACAGCTTTTTTCATTTTAATTAATTAAACTGAGTTTTTAAGAAAAAATATCCACAAAAATAGAAGAGCGACTGATCAGCCTCTCCCCTCTTCTCCCCAAACCACAAGCTTGGGGATTTGCACAAAATGAGTAACTGTCTCCAGCTCACTCCTTTTCATTTTTCTTGCCTCAATTCTTTTCCTCCTCAATGCTTCTTTCGTGGCCGGAGCAATTGAGGCTGACAAGCATTAGCTACAAAGCAAAGCTTTTCCATTTGTAAGCTTGATGCTGTCATTAGTTCTCTGACTGGCATGGTAGCAGCTAGACTGGGTGACAAATCAGGTGACAAATCAGGCTCCAGCAAGCACTGGGGAGTGCCCCATCCTGCAAAGATTAATCCTGGGTGCATTGTATAACTGCAGGTCTCTGATCCAGCACAACTGAGCAATAAAGGGAGCAGCACTACGTTGTTGCACTAAATTCAGTTGAGATTTGTCAAGGAAGCAGGTGAAAGTTAGCATAATGTCTACTCAAAGAGTCTGTCCTCCAAAGGGAGAGGAAAATCCCACAGTGTCTTGGCAATAGAGGTTCTCCCAGTATGGAAGACTTCACACTGTAACAGAAGGATCTTTCCAACTGGAAGGAATTTCACATCACCTTCAAACAAAAGGGACATTTCTCCCACCTTCCAGTCTTTCACCTAAGAATACCAAGGCTCACCATGAACCTTAGAGATGGCAAACAGAAACAAGACAATGTCTCTTTACTCACCCATCGAAGACACTGGCTGGAGCTGAATGACAAAGTAGATACAGAAAAACAAGTACTGGAACATCCCACTGAGCCAAGGAAGAGCCACCACTCAAGGGACAGAGGCTTCGAAGTCCTTGTACAGGCTGTGCCTCTTGCAGCCTCCCTCTCAGTGGAGCTTCTGACTCCAGGCTTCCAGAAGAGCAAGTTTATCAGAGGAAGAAGCTGAAGGGACATGGCTACAGCTCCAGCCTTGACCTCCCCAGAGCAGCTCTGCCCCTTACTGACAGCAGGGATATACTCACTGATCAATCTTGTTTTTTGGACTTGACCTGCTATTGTTTTCTGCCCTGACTGCCCTGCAGTGACACCTCCAGTATCTTATCCAGAGAAGAATTCTAACCAGGGACACCCGGACATCCCGAAGGGATGGAAAAGAAGAACAGATGGGTGCTTGTTATCTGTGCTCCTTCCACAAGTCACACTCCATAGCTCCCTCCAGGCAGAAAACACCAGCTAAGGAGCCTTAACTGCAGGAAATAGTGGCCAAAGGAGCAGCACTGATCCTTCCGAGCACAGATTGCAGAGGAGTGCCTGGAGCAGAGCTACAATGGGAACATCAGTCAAAGTGAAACACTGGTGTCCCACAGGGAAATGAGCTGTTCCTAGGCTACACAGAGGCCCTTGCCACTCCTGGTCACACAACCTGACCACTGCAGCAAGATTGTCAAGCAAGGCAAGTAAAGACTTTTCTGCAGAGCTCTTACAATCTCTTGTCTTGAAAAAATAAACCAATCCCAACGTCATGAAGTTAATTTTGATGTATCTAAGAGTATCTAAGAACCTCTCCTGACTAGCTCAAACCAAACTGGGCTGAGTTGCAGGGGACAGCCACAAGCTCTAGATGCAGCATGCTGAAATGTGTTCTTAACTACAGCAAACCCAGAAAGGGTTCTCCCCTCTCACCCCACCCCAAAGAGCTCTCCATCAGCAATGAGTGCAGCTGAGCCTACAGTAATCACACAATCAGGCAAATGTGGGAATTTCTCCATTCCCTTCATTCCCTTGGCATCCTGCATTTCTGCAGCAGGCTGGCCTAAGAAATAACACCAACTTCAAATCCCAGCAGGAAAAAGTGGCTCCATTATTTACAATGAATTTGAACATTTACGATTTGAATATTTACGATTTACGATGAATTTGAACAAGGCAGGGAGTTGGGTGCTTGTCTGTCTTACAGGGACTGTACATTACAGAAAATTCTCAATGGCCTCTCTCTGTCAGGGTGTGCTCCTGGGAGTGAAATACCATGTGCAGCTCTACTCTACTCCAGCACAGGAGTCTTTTTTCAGTGGTGAATGACTGTAGGGAACAACAAAAAAATCTCCAAATAAATTACTGTTATTGCTCCCATAAGGAAAAAAAAAAATTCCTGTGGCTCTATTGTGCTGACAGCTGTGCAGTACCAGAAAGGTTTTTCCAACAACAGGAAAAGAGAAGAGATTCACTACACAAAGCTATCAAGGCAGATAACCCTCAAGAGGAGACTATGTGAATTCCCAGAAGAGAAACTAAAATTGAACAGAGAATAATACAGCAAGCCACTGGAATTTCTATTTTGCCACTTTCATTGAAACGCTGGTTCTCATGATGCCAGGTAAATAAAACTGACAAGCCTGAATGGAATGCTCTGTTTGTGTCACAGGTGTGTGCAGCTCCCTGAACCATCCTTCACCAGCTGCTTCTGTTTTGTAGCTGCTAGATGAGCCTGTTATAACAAGGTTTTGACAGGTACATGGAAGTGACTGACAGCTGACAATTAACACAGAGAAATGAACTGCAACATGGCAAATTGGAGTCCCAAAGGTGGCACCTACAGGCCCTATCAAGTTCTCAAAAGTGCTTTAAAGCAGGAGATGCCCCAGCATTCCCAGAGAAGACACTATCCCAAGTCACCATAACATCTAATTGAAGGAAGTGGTCTCAAGCTGGAGAAGACAGTCTGTTACCTGTAAACAATTCTGGGAAGAAGCAATTCTTCTATCAGCAGCTTCTCTTTGAAAGTTAATTTGGGTGATATTCATAGCTCCAATTCCCCCACAAACAACCTATGCCTCAGGGAGCTGTAACAGTTAGTCCTGAGAGGAGAAATGGAGGGAAAAACCCCAACTCAAAAACTTCCCTGCAAGGAGATGCTCTGGGAGAGACACAATTCCAACAGGGCATTCTGTAGCACCTGCACTCTCCAGCAAATGTGCTGTTCCTAACCTCCACATTTGCACACCATAGACTGATGCACCCAACATCCCAAAAAGAACCAGCTTCAAGTTTTCAATCAAGCTTCAATCTTTTAAAAGAAGTCACCAGCACTGTTTAAAAGAGAAGAAGGAAGGTAAAATGAAAATAGAGGGCAGGGATTTTATTTTGGTACCCGAGAGGGATTTTCTAAACCTGCTACAAAGCCTGTGCATATCTGTTCTTAACACAAGAAAAATGCTCATTTTGCATGTGGCAACCACCCTTCTTGTGGAAGTGAGATCTCTGCAGGGCTTTACCATCCTCACACAAGGAATTCAAATTCTTCAAAGCATTGTCTGGGCTGGAGAGCCTTGTACAGTTTGTAATGGACTCATGACTAAAAATGCTTTGGCATTTGCTGCAGTGGTCTTGGCTTTGTCAGAGGCACCTCTCAGGACACAGCAATGCCTGGGAGGTGTGTGAAGCACAGCTCTGGGTGCAGGAACCTACAACCTGCCTAGAAGGAGCAGGAGGAAGAGCTAATCAGCACTTCCTGCTGCAGGGAGGGAGGAGAGCCTGGCACACAGGACAGGCTCCCTTCTCTGGGATTGACTGGAGGATGCAGGCTCACAATAAGCCCTGACAGGCAGCTGAGATGGATTGCACTGAAGTCAAGGACTTGGAGATAGGCCTTGTTGCTGTAAACAACTTGTTCCAGGACTCAGAGCCAGTGGGAAGGGCTGTGGAGATCAGGGAGGGAGCACAAGTGAAATGTGAGCAAACTCCACACAAGTACAAGACTGAGAACCCATTAAGATCACTCCTAGTTACGAGTAGCAGTTATTTTCTTTCCCTTAGTGGAGCACTGTGATGCAGAACTTGGTGTTTGAGAATTTTTCCACAGGTCCTACAAACCCAGCATATTTTCCATGCTCCTCCATTTTCAGATGGAGGAATTAGGGCATAGACAGCACATCAACAACTGCAAAACTAGTCAGGGGCAGAAAGAGAAGTAGAAATCATCTTTTAAGAGCCCTCAGAGCCACAGCAGCACAGCCTATGAGCAGTTCTCCCCTGCTTCAGGGCTTAGGTACACTGCAAGTCTGATTTTCACTGCTGGATTTTACTTTTCATCCCTTTAAATGCCAGAAAAGAAAATTATCCTGATTGTTTTTTTAAATAGGAATAATTAGCATCTCTTGGGATAAGTAGAAGAATACTTAAGCTATAAAAATCTCCTTCCTCTGTGAAAATTAAGCCATACAATGGGGCATAGAGAAAAGAAGCTTGCTTTTATAACTCCACAGACACAAGAAGCCCAAGAGATACCAAAGAAATTGGTCCACTGGATCAAAGACAGGGCAGCTTGGCCAGCTTCACATGGCTGGCTCAGTGCCATGGTCTGACAGCCAACAGCAGCTTCAGAGCATCATGCAAACCCTCTTAAAGCCAACATGGAAGCATAAGAACTTGCAGCAAGGTGATCATCATTGCTGCCTGCCATGCAGGAAGGGTTACAGGGGAAAGAAAAAGGGTTTCTTCTTTGCTCTTCAGGAAAGAGGAGCCATGAACAGCTTCCCTGGAGGGGCCTGCAAAGCAGAGCCTCATGGGTGTGGCAAAGGGAACTTAATGCTGTTCTCCAGGAAACTTTCAACTGGTTGTATGTTAAAACCCTAGATACAAAGAGTTTTGGGCTTTCTATACTAAAAACCACAGACCCTCAAGAGAACACTACATTTAACCTAAAGCTGTAAAAAAAAGCCTTCCATACATTTATTTGAAAGCTCCCTCACAGAAGAGGTTAATCAAAAGAATGGCAAAATCAGTAGAAAAAGCAGCACCTGAGCACTGCAATGCTCCCTGCTGCTTCTCCCTCACCAGGGCTGAGGAATGCAGTGGCACATTAAAATTCAGGCAGCACTGCCTGCTCTGCAAGTGCTGCCAGGGGGACAGGACCTTATCACCTGCCTGGCTCCCAAAGGGGAAATAGTTGCTGCAAGAGTGTGTGCTGATGTTGAGATACAACAGTGCGGATCAGGAGAGCAAACAAACCCTGCCCTTCCCTTCAGTGTTTGCATTCCAAGGCACTGAGACTGGAGTGGGAGGCTTGTGGATTTCAGGGCACAAGTGTAGTCACTCTCCTTACTTTTGTAACCCACACCATCTCTAGAACAACATTAATTCATGTGCAGGAACAGTTTTGTAACAGCACCTTCTTGTTTTCAAAACAGAGATGGTGGTGCTAAGATATCACAAAGTCTCCTGCTCTCCTGGATGCCAAAATGGACAAATTCTTATGCAACTGAGCCAAACAATTTACCTAAGGGTGGCAGCAGCTCACCTGGGGACAGCAGCACACTAAGGGCTGCCTGGAGGAAGGAGGCCCGTCGGCAGAGATTAAAGGCACATGACAACAAACAGCTTCCAGCCCTTCCCCTCCAGCTTTGAAAAACACAAGAGTTGGCTTTTTCAAAAACTAGCTAATCATGGATGGTAATTTTTGTAAGCAGTCCATGGGCACAATGGAAACCAGCACCAAACATCTCATCCTAATAATCCATAAAGTCAGGACAAAGCACACTCTGCTGATTCCCAAAGGAAATGAACAAATCACATGTCACCACGACAAATCATTCAAGGGCCCAGACAGAAAGGAACTGAAGCCTGACAACTCCAGTTTTTTCTCCAAAACAACACTTGAGTGCAATATAGAAATACACTGACACCACAGGTACCTCTTTTGGGCTGCTGGGCATTACTGCCCATATATATTCTTATCCTGCTACTATGCTGGCCAAACAAAGGAAGATCTTTGCTAGACTAAGTATCTCTATCTCACCACCTCAACTGCTCCTGAGATCCCTGTGTTAGGCAGCCAGGCCTGGCAGCCACATCTCCATCCAGGCTTCTTCAGGAAAGCTATTATCTGCATCACCACAGCATCAGTGAGGTGAGGTCAGTCAAGAAGACACAACCTAAACAAAAAGAAATGGAGGAAACTCAGGAGAGAGCTGCCACACAGGGAATATTCTCTTCTCAGCTGGGGAAAATAACATTATTCAAGAGCACTGATTCAAAAATTGAATAGTTATTTATTGTTCCAGAAGTACATTGCTCTTTTATACATATTTCATAAATGATACAGGATTTTACACATGTTCAGGTTTTTTTTTTTGTTCTTTTTTTTTTTAAAGAAGGACTTTTCTCCATGCTCCCTCCCTCATCCCAAACACACACCAAGGATTCAGCTACAGGATTGTGTTCACTTTTTTTCCTTTTAAAACTCATCACACAAACATGATAAAACAGATAAAAAATAATCACGCAATGTAATTAAATGGAAAGACAGAGGAGAAGGGGGAGGGAAGAAAAAAAAAACAAAACTAGAAACATGCACCCATTCGGTCCAACATGCCACTGAGTGAGAAGAGGCAGCAATCCCAGCTGTGTTTCCACATCTGCAAGGCACCTGGCATCTAGTTAATACTGAATTATTTTCTTTCCTATATTTTTAAAACATGGTTCTCCAAAAAAAACCCCAGAAGCCTCTTTCCATGACACAGTGAGGAGTAGTAGTGAAACATCAAAAAGAAGCAGCCAGCCTTTCTGTATATAAAGCTTAGTGTCCTTCTCCCACCTTCATCCTGTCTCCACAGCATTTATCAGGAGGGTGCTAAACCAGACTGACCTGCTTTGAGTGAAGAGATGTTTTATCTGCTTAGAAAGCAGCCAGCCTTGGCTAACAGAGAGGGCAATGGGTTGACCTTCCTTCCTTTATTTCTTTTTAGCTAAGAACAAGAGATGTCATTAGCCACTCCTAAGAAATTCTGACCTGCGGACACAGAGTTCACTTAAAGCTACTTAATCAGGGGAAAGTGCTACAGAACCAAAGCAGTTCTGTGTCTTGCACTGTAAGATCCCCAGGCTCTCAGAAAGCCTCTGGGCAAGGGAAATCCTTTGACAATATGTGAAACCTTCTATCCTATTTCACAAACAATCAAGTATCAAGTTTCATTATTCCATGTTCCAAAACTGTCCATTTTAAAGCAGGAGTCATGATTCTGGCAACAGCTTTGTAATCCTTTAAGGCCTTCCTAATTTCATAGTTCAGGTGGCTCTCAAGATTTGGGGTAGGAAGAGGGGAACCTCCCTGCCTTAAGACTGAATATAAAAAACCGCTCATGCAATGCTGCCATGGATTTCTAGGAGGAGCTCAAGGGCACTGGGACGCAAAGTTTTGAGAGTTATTACGGAATAATCCAAAACATCGATTATCAAATGTCCAGAAGAAAACTCATTCCTTCTTTCACTGGGCTACAACCAATCTGTGCTACAAATAAGCAAAGGAGGAAGTCAGTGGAGCACAGGGGGTGGGCTGGGAAGGGGAAGCTCACGGTTTTCCAGTAGAAAGCAGTCTTGTAGTAACTTTATAAAAGAGACCAGGTCTGACCAGAAGTGTGCGTGTTAATGGCGGTGGAGTGCAAGTTCTGATCACCAGCCAGAGCTCCAGGTGGCTTGGATTCTTTGTTCATTTTTTTTTCTCCTTTTGTTTTTTTTCAAGAGAGAAAAAGAGACTGGAATCAGGTAAAGGAAAATTAAAAAAGCTAAGCAGGCTGCTGGTGTCTTATCAAGAGGCAGACCCTGCAAAGCTGGAAGAAGACACCCCCACACCCCAGCATTACATTCTTTTCATGAACCTCCCAATCCTGTATTTGTACACAATCGCCATTCTGACAGTTTTTAAAATGTGACTATTTGCCAAGCCCTTTTCAGAACTAACATTCCACAATGTCCCATCTTCAGATTTAAGAGATTTTCCCCCTTTACAGTCCTTTGTCTTGATTAAAGGTAAAAACCCTCCACCCCCCACACCACATCCCAGCTTCCACCTGCAACGCTTTAATTAAAAAAGGCAAGAGCTATGAACAGGTTTTTTGCTGGGGTTCAGAGCTTCTTTGCTGATCAGTCCTTTTCAGAAATTTGCTGGATGGGCAGATGAACTTGCAGTGGGTCTCGAAGCCTCTTAAGGTCCAATTCTGCCTAAAAGTAAAAGACACATTATAAAGCACAAGCTCCCAAAACAACTTCCCCCAATACCATTTCCCTTTAGAGAAAGAAAAGCTTTCCCACATTTCCTTGTTTTTTCCCTGTCCAGCAGGAATTTGCCCAATGAGTGAAATAAAGTTGAAAGTTCATATTTACAAAAACCATTCTCTGCTGTATTTCTCTGAAGCTGTCTGTATGCAGCCACTTAAAGGACTAGGGTAGGGAAGATTTGGATCCCCATAAACCCACTGGAATACTTTTTAAAACAAGTCAACAAAAACCCAACAAACCAACATCCCAACCACATTATTAGGGATGGCTCATTCTAGAAGAAAAGCTCCAGGAAAATACGGCCAACCAACGGCATCTGTATTCAACGTGGCCTAAGAAACTCCAGAAGGACCTGTGGGTCCTTCCTTATGCAGTTTGTTCTCCAAGGCAGGGGTGGAAATCCTCTTGCCCTGGATATCTTACACTGTCATTTCCAGAGCCTGGGAATAAAGGATGATAGAGAGCAGTGAACAATAATGTGATAACTCTGCTTTTTCTGCTCACACCATCCTTCTGCAACAAGGCTCTGAGAAACACAAGGAAACATCTCTATCCTCTGCTGAACAGATCCCACAATGTGGATAATCTGTTAAGAGGGTCTGTCTCCAGAGTCTGAGAAATCTGCCCCCACTGACTTTAACAATACAGCTACATTTTCTGAACATTATTTTCCAGGACTGCACTGAAGTGCTATGGCAGGAAGACCTGAACTGAATGGATGCAAGACTTCATTCCTCACTAAATCCATCTGGTGTGTAGGAGCTGAGAAGCAAAGAAATCTTGAATTAGGCTCCTCTGAAGCATAAAGAGTCTGAAGCAACTCAAGATTTACCAGCAGTTTCTGAAAGGCCCTTAAAGATTGATATGGGTTTCATGTTGATTTACACTTCCAGCAGTTCTATTCCTGGTAATATCAAAGCCAGTTTAGTGATTGCAGTGGGGCTGTGACAGGAAAATGGGCTGAAAACTTAAAATACATTCATTCTTACTTGAGGTGTGTCTATTAATAATAATGAAGAGCTAGCAAGCAGCAATTTCTTTATCTTATTTCTGGAAAAACTCTTGTTACCTGAGCAATTGCATCCTTGAGTTGATTGTATTTCTCTAGATCAAATCGTGTCTTTTTGGCTCCTTTATGGAAAAATAATAAGTACTGTCTGTCTCTGGCATCTGGATAAACATATTCCTAAAGAGAAAAAAAGGAGACAAAATAGGAATAAAGCTATAGCAGGGAGGCAGCACAGGATGCCATAGTACAGTATGTCTCAGGTGTTTTTGGGAGAATGACCAGTTCCTGACAGAAGGCATAAGCCTGCTCCAAGCTCACACAGTGGTGGGTGACCCCTGCAAGCAGCTAAACCCCCACCTAGTCACTCACTGCTGCACAGCTGGATGGGAGAGAGAAGAGAATCCAAAGGTAGGGAAAAACCAAGAAAGATTTAAGTGTAAAGTTAAAAACAGTTTAATAACTGGGAAAAAAACAACAACATAGGAGTGATGCAAAAGCAATCACTCACCACCTCCTGCGAGCAGACCAATGCCCAGCCAGACTCTGAGCAACATCTGCTTTGGAGAAACTCCCTCCCAATTTATTGCAAAATGTGACATCATGTGGCATGGTCAGTTTGGTCAGTTCAGGGCAGCTGTCCCAGATGTGTTCCCTCACAACACCTCACCCACCCTCAGCCTATGCTCAGGGATGGGAAGAGGGGGGTTGGGAGGGGACAGAGCAGGGAAGAACAAAAACCACAGAAGGCCTTGATGCTGTACCAGCACTACTCAGCAACAGCAAAAGCACTGCTGTGTTACCAAGGCTGTCTTGGTCACAAATGCCAAACACTGCATCACACCAGCTGCTCTGAAGAACATTAACTCCATCCCAGCCAGACCCAGCAAAGTCAGACATTTGCTTCTCTACTCATTTGTTACACTCCAGCAGTGATTTACGAGCACCTTCCTCCTTCCTGTCCCGTGTGTGAATACTTCCATGCAGAGACAACAAGAAATAATATTTTGTACTGACAAGTTTGTGGGGAATAAAGGAGTGAGAAAAGCTATAAATACTGTTCCTGAAATGATGCAGTTGACAGACCCTTGGGACACCACGCTAGAACACCTGCAGCATCTGTTCTGATGGCCCTGTGACAGCAGAGACACTTTGAGCCCTCCCTTCCTCATTATTTAGGCAGAATTGGGAACTGATGAGACAAAAAACCACACACTAGAAAATCTACAGAGAATCTGTCACAATTACAAGCATCCAGAGATGGATTCTTCATCTGGATGGGAGGCTAGATCTGTGAAAGATATTTCCAACAAGATGCCTGATCCTTGGGCTCCTTATAAAGGCCAGCGTGGCACATGAGAAGGGTGGGCTTCCTTGAAGCTCAGAAGGTGTCTCAGGCCATACCTGTCTGCACTGCCAAGAAAGGAATCTGTTTGGCTACAGCAGTCAGTCACCAACCAAACAGAGAAAAACATTTCTGGTAAGACAACCAGCCAGGACCACCATGAGAACACCCCATCCACAGACCACCTCCCTGGCCAGCACAATGAAACAAGTAGCATCTGATTTCCAACAGGATAAGGAAGGGGCTAAGCACCTTCTACCAGGCACAACTTTGCTATTTTTCTAGGGAGTAGAGCCCAGAGAAAGTCTTCTACTGAAGTGTCAAAATCAGCACAACAAGTCCTACCTGGCGGGTCATTACGAAATAAGCATACATTGCCATGGCACTACCATAGGTGATGAAATAGGTGACTGGTTCCATAATGTCCCAAGAATATTCCCACCAGGTGAGGCGGGCCAGAATCCCAAACTGAGTGGCCATATAGGCCAGGCCTCCCCACAACACCAAGGTTGTCCTCTTCTCTGCTTTCCTGCTGAGCTCCATTCTTACCTGCAGAAGGCAGAAACACATATCTTGCAGTCTCAGAAGTAATTATGTTAATATTGTTAAGAGATAATAATGTAAAATCAGTCCCTTATATTAATAGCAACATTAAGTGGTTTGAAACATGATTTGATTATGCATGATGCTTACACAAACAAACCTCAGCTTCTTTTCCATCACTGTCTTGCTGTCACCTATATTTACTCTGAGCATGCTCTGAAGGCCTCAGGAAAGTGTTTATTTCTCTACGTTCAGAGATGTTCTGTTGCATTAGCCCCAGCCTTTATTTACTAACAAGCTCATTTCTAACTACTTGAAGCAAGGAAACAAAATATTTCCACAGAAAGCAGAAGCAGACGTGGTTTGGTAAACACTTGGTTCAGTGATCTTAAAACTATTTGAAGCACGCCAGGGACCCAATTAAAACCTGGAAATACATCCAGGCTGCATTTGGAGGATAAATACAACACACTGAGAAACTCCTTACTTTTTCTAGAGGTGCTAGTTGCTCCTTCAATTGCTCTAGCCTCCCTATCAGCTCCTTCTCCTTGTTCAGCTGGTGCTCCTCGATGCTCAAGGCTGTGTACAACTGCTGAACCAACGTCTTCACATCATTCAGCGTCGTGGCATTTTCATGGCTTAAGAGCTCTAGGGAAAGACAGAGGCTGCTTTATCCACTGTGCCCACAGGGCTTCTCGTGGGCCCTTGGGGAACCGCTATTAGTCTGCACCGGAAATGAACAAAACTATCTTCTCAACAAAGAGGCCTTTGGAAGAGCTCCAGCATTCTAAGACAATGTGATTCCCTTGAAAGAAAACCAGGCCTCACTATTGGATATTCCTAAAATTTGCTAAGAATGAAAAGAGAGGTGTCCTATAAAGCTGGCCAGATGTTAACAGCTGCTTCTGATTCATACTTATATACAAGACAAACAAACTAAACTAGCTATGATCCATCACACCAGCTGTCAAGACACGGGCAGAATTCAGAATACAGACCACCAGCAACCAGAGTTAGTGGTGGTGGCAACTGAACGTTGTGGGTTAGGGACCCCACAACAGCCTCAGCAGCAGCACTTGGAGCGCCAGTGCCAAGAATTGTTTCCCAGTGCACTGTGGGTAACACCCCGTGCTGTGCTGCCTGCAAAGGAGTGAAGCTCTCCCACACAGTATCTAGAAACAAGAACAGGGCCACAACTCAAAAACACCTTTATCCTTGCATTGCAACTCAAAAAGGATTCCTAGAGGACACCAGTTCATAAATGAGTTGTGACTACTTGTATTGTTTTACAGTCCACATGGAAAAAAAAGAAGTTTGAAATTAAAGCAAAATATTCTGACATTAACCAAATAAAAAATTAATTTTTGTAGCATCCTTGGACTTGTACCTAAAGGTATCAAAATATGATTTTACCAACTCAAAAAGCTATGGACAACTTAAATTTTAACACCAGCAGCTCAAGGGAAAAAAGTGACTCAGCTGCCTGTGCCAAGACACACAAAGCACTTAATTTCATGTGTTCCTACTGAGGTGAACATCAAGAAGTACTTATTTAAAATTACAGTATTCTGGCATTTCCATTCTCAAATACACAAGGTGATCTTGTAAAAATGAAAAAGCAAGAGCTGAAAAGTTTGACAGAACTAATCTCAGTGCCTATTTGCAGGCACATTCATTTTAGCACAGACTATAGAAATCTCCTTGGCAAGTGCATCCTAGGAGACAATTTCCTGTAACCTTGGTGATCCCAGAGCTCACCTATCAGTACACAGTGGGTGACAGCAGAGGAACTTCTTTGTGTGTGTGATACCCAGTGGTTTAGATATCCAGTCTTAGCAGAGAGCTTTCTGCTAAGGTGGTTTTAATGAGATGGGGAAAAAAATCATCTCTAGTAGAGGTCAGTCTACCCCACATTTAGGAGAGAAAGACCATCTCACCCAGTATACTTCACTCCCAATTCCAGAATAACAGAAAAATAACATCTCCCACATCTGTGAGCCAGGAGACAAACAGAAACAGCATTTCCCAAGCTGTCCCTCTTGTCTAAATCCTCAGAGGTAACTACAGGCAAGCAAGAACCTTGTGGTTTATGAAGGCTATGAAGCTGCCCAGAAGAAAGAGGGCAGACAAAAACACTGAATTCCTTCGTCCCCCAGTAATGCTGAAATGTCTCAAAAGCTTCTTTGCAGGTTTTCACATCTTGAAAATCACACACGTTCAAAGAATATTACAGAAATGGATTTTCTTATTGACTCAGAATAGGTTGCTTTCCCTTCCCCTCCTACCTGATTCTTCTAAGGGCACAGTCTCTTTTATTTCACTGTTTGGTAGCTAACAGGGGTTTGAGGTTTATCTGCAATGTTCAAAGTATCACATTTAAATGGAAACAATGTTAGCTGTCAGGAGAAGCAACAATTTATTCTTCCAAACCAGACAATCTAAATTCCAATCTAATTCCCATCTTGTCTTGTATTCCTTCAGAATGAATTAAATTAAATTACTTTCCAGTAATTATAAAAAAAATTTGACAAATTTACAAATTAAAAGGAATTCTATTTCTTTGTTTATTCCTCTTGAGGGCTGGGGGCACTAGCTTTGAACAGAATGAAATATCTGCTTTTCATTAGTGATTATTCTGACTACTTGGAAATCTCTAAATTGGGCTCCAAGGGCAGGATTAGAAACCACGAGGTTTCACTTTAGAAACAACACTTCATGCTCCTGAACAAGTTAATAAAGCATGCTGCAGTGAAGCAGGGAACTGAATACTGAGATTACTCCCAGGGCTGAGCAGAAGCAGGCTGCTTTACCTCTCTTTGGTGGTCTGACATGGTAGGAGACATCATTAATGATCAGTTTGAAGTCATCCAGCAGAAGCAGGTCTATGCCTGTGGAGGAGGCCACACGTGTGCCATCTGTAAGGAAAACAGAAACACAGATGATGCATTAAGCAGGAGGAACAAAGAACTTCAAACATGCTGTGGCTAAATTGTAATATCATCCCAAGCCCAGCTGTTTGGTTTCTATTCTTTGTAAATAGAATAATGTAAATATTATTTACAGAAAACCAGAGGGTGGATCTCTTAATTTACAGTATTGGACTATGAAAAAAATGTAAAAGTATGAGAGTAGTGTACAAAAATACAGAAAAACATAACAATCTTTAATAAAAATAGCAAAGTCTTCAGATGAACTCGATCTCTTGATGTGCTTTGTCATATGACCAAAAATCAAAGAGCAAAGTCCCTTAAAGCCAAAACAGAATTTGAGTTCACAAAATAACTTTAAATTCTTAGCTATTTACAATAATAACATAAATATTCTTTGTGAAGGATGATACTTTTTGCCAGGACAATGAAAGGTGAAACATAACTGAGTTCTCACTGCTAAAGCACGATACTGTTTCCCATGTACCACCTTCCACACCCGACTCCTTATAAATCAATTTCAACCTCTATGTAGGTTGCACAGCTTGCATCTTCCCTACTAAATAGTAGGGAACTCACCAAAAACCATCTCCATTAGGACTGATTTCCTTGGCAGCACTGACTACACAATATTCTAACTCTAGGAATAGCATTTCTACCTTCTGCTCTTTCAGGAAGGTCAGAGAACTCACACCAGAGCGAGCTTCTACTTCAAAAGCAAAAGGCCGGATGCAGACAGCTGGCAAGCAAGCAAATCAATCAGTTTGTAAACAAGAGTACCTGCTGAGTAGATTGCAACTCGATCAATGCCTCTGTCCTCTGCTCGCAGCTGTTGCAAGAACACCCCGACAGAGTCTGAGATGGGTTTCAGGGTGAACTGGCAGCGCTCGCGCCGCGATGGAAGACTCACAGAAATCACAGGCAAGCCGTTCTGGTAAACCACCGTCACTTCTACAGACACAACAAAAACACAAGATCGTTAGAAGGTAACAGATCTTCTCTACTTGCTCCATGGAGAAGAGGCAAACCTGATTATAATCTGAATGTAACAGATTAAACTTTCAGTTTTCTCAAGAGATAAGGCCAAAGAAAAATTGAGGTATAGCAGAGATTCTCACTCCAGTAATTTGGCAGTATTTTTCTGTACTTTGTAAAAGTTACTTACTTTAAAAGTTACTGACTCTACAGTCACCTTTGCTCTAAAGGCAACATGATAGCAAAAAGCCGTAACATGACAGCACAGTCTGTTTTGGTTAGGTTTTGAGAATGAAAGCATTTTGGACTCTGGAAGACAAAACACTGCTGTTTATATCAGAATTTATAGCTCAGGAGACAAAGACAGATTGTGTCTATTAGGAAACATCAAGGAAGGACCCACTTCAAATCTTTATGTTCTTATTTAGTTCTGGTTTCTTCCTCCTTGTCCTGAGGCAAAACATGTCAGAAAGCAGTCAGGAGCATGAGGCTGCAGGAGAACAGCACTCCGAGTTTAGGCTTCAAGGTCATTTCATCTAAAATTCATGGGATCAATATGCTTTGTACGTCTCCAGACAGGCATTACTACTTAGGTGTAGATAAAACAAGATTTTCCCATTTCTTTGGTGCTGCCAAAAGCTTTTCTGAGGGCGTTCTTGAGGATTTCTGTAATTCTAAAATCAATGGTAGTGAACTGTATGAGCTGTAAGCTAGTTATTACTTTACTGCCACAACCTGCTCCGTGTACTTCGTGAGACCCATACACAGAAAAGAGAAGTTAAAAGTTCATATTTGCTAAGCCCTTTATTGAATCACAGTCATAACTGTCCTCAAGTGATGTAGTTGCTAAGACATAGCAGCACACCTCAAAACGATTTGCTTTTACAGGTATCTTTGTTATGTAAAAGCACACAGGGTTTTTTATTGCTCAGAGCATTTGCTGTGTCTCAAGGATGGTGCAGTCACACCCACCCACAATTCATCTGCCTCAGTATCCCAACCTGTTGTAGCTTTGGTCAACTCCTGTCTCCTTAAACTCACTGAACTCATGCACTGACATGCTAAGTCATTTTAAGCAGCTAACACCAAAACCAGCCAGTCAAAAAGTCAACAGAAGTAGAAATAAAGGCAAATAATGTTATTTTAACTAGCAAAGGGAACTATGGGGACAATCCTGGGGCAACACACCTTTCCAAAAATGGGGGATCGTGGATACTGAGAAAGGATTTACCAAGTGCACTTGTACAAAGCCAGAAGAATTCTCTTCTCATTCTTAACTATCACACACCTTCATGAAATTAATCAAGCATAAAAAAGCTTTTTCCCCTCTTGCAAAGGATTGCTACCTTCAAGTCCTTAAAGACTAGATGGAAGCAACCAAGTATGGACACCTAAAACAACTAAAGCAGCCTAAGAGGTCCCAGTATTTGAAAAACTATCAATGCCTCTTCTCAAGACTCAGACACCTGACAGGATTTTAGTAGCTTTAGTGTTTTGAAGCACAGAACTCAGAGACAACAATCAGATATTTACTAGAAAGAAATAAAGCAAAGTGCTAATTTATTTGGACTGCCAGACAGAATTTAGAGCTCCTTAGCAGCAGCTGTTATGACACCAGCTACCAGGTTTTCTTTAAATTTAAAATGCTACCTGGATCACACAGGCAGTGAGGCAGATTTTTGCAGAGAAGAGAGAACAATGTTTGCATTTACACTTTTTCCATGGATCCCCGTTGGTACCACCCAGAGCTCCAGGACTGCCAGCTCTGGAGGAAGTGCCTACCAGGAACAGTCCTCCTGCATTTTAGGAGTCATCAGCATTAGGAGCACAAACAAAGCCTTTCACCGGGATTTCCAGCTTAGGTAAAGTATTAAAGACCAAATTATTTCCCTTCAAAAGACAGGGTCCATAAGCCTGCAAATACAGCTGCTTTATATTTTCTTTGCAAAAACCCTGTAAAAGTAATTTCCTAGCTTAATTCACTGGTGGGGAAAGTCCGTGATTGCAGGTTGATCCTCTCACCACCTCCCACACAAGCAATGCTGGTCAGACTTTTACTGCATTGAAGAGGGAAAAGGCATAGAAAAGAAGGAAGTCTGAAGGACACAATAACACAAACCTAACAGACAGCAGCAGGCAGCTCCAGTAAAAGTTATTAACAAGCCCCTGTGATATGGCTGCCTCACTCTTCTCTCCCACAGCCCTGGGTGTCTTCTGCATCTACTCCACAAGTTACAAAGAGAACAAAGCATTTGGCACCTCTCTAATTACAGAGCTAAGGTTTCAGCTAATCTTCCCCTAGTTAAATTTTAAGCCAGGATTTAAAGGCATGGGACAAGTAAAAGAAATTAATGTTATACAAGTGTGCTGCACTTACATTTACAGTCACCTACAGCCTGGCCAGGAATGGTGCTAAATGAGACCGTGGGGGATTTGAAAAGCTTTACATGCTATATTAAGTGTGGGGTTGCTTTGAGGCATGAGTTCCATCCAAGTACCACAAAGCTTTGACTCAACCATATGTGCACCAGCAAGAGGTCATGGGTGGTTTTTTTGGTTTTTTTTTCAAGATTTCCATTTTCACCTAATATCAACTTGAGCAACAAACGAGGTCAAAATGAAGTACAATAAAAGAAAAAAAGTGTTGCCAAAGAAGTCAGTGCTGAACATTGGCTACTGGTAAAGGCAAAGTTATCAGAAGAAATAATGAGAGAATTATTCAAGCACAACATGAGGAAAGGTAAAATCAAATCAGCACAGGCAGACAGCACACAGCATCTCAATCTTACACATCCTCTACACTTCTACCTGTTGAAGCTGCCAGGTTTTCATGCAAGCTCTGCAGAGCAGTCAGTCATGTTCTCTTTGTCTTTGCACACTTGTTACCCTGGCAGGGGAAGCAGGAACCCTTCATTTATTAGCTTTCAGACCTCATTAACAAGCCTTAACAAGGAGAGGATCCACTCAATGCCCACGTCTGTCAGCACAAGTGCTCCACTCCCTGTGCACAGCATGCAGATGTCAAGCAGCTGAAAGCTGCTCCTTTCCACTTTGCATTGGCAGCACACTGAGATTTTTAAAGTTCCACTAGTGCATCCTTTTGCTTTGTGCTCTGACAACCTTATCAAAAAAGCTTCATGTTTGAACTGTCCTAGAATTTAAATAAAGGAATAACATTGCTTTGGCTTCAAAATTTATTCACTGCAGTGAGCAATGCTTTTGACCATTCTGGCATGTAGCTAAACTGCACTTTTGTTACATAAATGGACTTAAGGGGGCAGGTAGGGTCAGGCTGAAGGGACCACAGTGAGTCTTCTGGTGCCACCTCCCTTTTCAAGCAGGGACATCCCAGAGCACATGGCACAGGATTGTGTCCAGATGGTTCTGGAGCATCCTCAGTGAGGGAGACTCCACAGCCTCTATGGGCTATCTGTTCCAGTACACAGGGAGAAGATTTTCCCCATGTCCAGGCAGAATTTCCTGTGCATCAGTTTCTGCCCTTTGCCTCGTGTCCAAGTGCTTGGCACCACTGAACAGAGCCTGGCTCCAGCCTCTGGCACCTCCCTCCAGGCAGGACAGCACCCTGAAGGGCAGGAGTCATACAGACCTCACAGCCACATCAGAAAGAAGTGTGGCAAAAAGACTCGGACAGTTGCATGCAATTCCATCTTTCTTTATAAAGCCTGTCCAGTTTTGTAAGGACAGTTCATAGAAAAGTTGCCCATTGCTTTAATTCTTTCTGACGTTGTTCTCTCTGTCGCCTCCTTAGCTCCAGACTGGATTGGTGCCCAGCCAAAGAAGCCTCCACCAGAAAAGGGGGCAGGGAATGAAACCTGAGTTGTGGAAGTCCAAGTGAGGCAGGAGCTGGTGTGGACTCACCATCAGAGGGCACTACGGTACTGCAATACACCACTCTCACGCTCTGCCAAGGAGACAGCCGCTGATGCACCTGGAAAACACGGGGAAAAGGACAAATGTTCAGAGTCTGGCAGGATCCGGCCCAGCGCCATCTCCTGCGACCCCTCCCCAATGCCCGCGCCAGGCACTTCCTCCCGTCCGGAGCAGCCACAAATCCGCAGCACCTGTCAGGAACAGCCTCTTCCCTTCCCATCTGTCACCCCACAGGGATTCCCCCCGCAGCCAAGTTCACCTCTACACACCTCACTCTCCACACGGGCAGCTGAGAGTCTGTAACAGAACAGCTGTGCTTTGTTTTCCTTAATGTGACATGGATTTTTAAAGCCACACGGTCAATCAGTTTTAAGAAATCCGTTTAGCTTACTACACAGACACAGAGTAGAAATTATACCAAAGCACAAGTCTTTAAAGGTTAAAAAAAGAAGTTTTTTGCATAACCAGGAGGGATGTTTTACAGAGTTGTGGATTAACAGGTTCATTCTCTTTGGTTGTTTTCTATGCCAACATTACTTTTCTCGTGTCCTTACAGAGGGAAGCCAAACTGAGATATGAAGCAATAAACATGCCTGTGCACAGAAGAACAAATTGTTCCAACATAAAAAGCAGTAATTGTAATACTGAGCTATAAAAATAAGAAACAACAGCCCAACAGGAAGAAAGCATATGAATGGGTTTGCATGTTCTGCAAACTTAGCAAGAGACTCATTTGCCCATGAAAATCTACAACCAGACTGATTTAAAGTCTATTTTTCAGATTATATTACACTGGTTATATACTAATCCTTCCCCAACACTGAAATTACAACTCTGGCACAAACCAGCCCAACTGTACACCACAGTAAGGAGTAACACACCAGCTCTCACCTGTCTCTGGTGGCTCATATTTCAGTGGCTAGCCTCAGATTTTTCAACAGCTGCTGTCCAATTTGGACATTCCTATGGTCTGGGATACTTTTTCTTTGCTGAACACTAAAACACAGCTGCCAAACCTACATTTTCATAAAGGTATCTTACAGGGAGGGATTGTTTAAGTAAACTTCTAATGAAGTTTGCAAACAAAACTCAGGTTGCTGATTACTTCTCTGCCAAATTGTCCAGACCTCTGTGTTTCATGAGGTTGCCTTTGATAACCTACTTTGAATGGCTTTAATTGCTACTTCCCTTGTCCTCTGAAGCCTGATATCCAAACCAAGGATAGTTTCCACTAATCTTTTTGAAAGCAGGACCTTTGGCCCTTATGGTCACTGCACTGACAGCTCTAGAAATTCACTGTGACAGGTGCTGTATTTATATTTCATTTCTATCAATTTTGACAACAAACATCAGTCATTTTCAATTTGCCTCCTCTCAATCTCATTTTCAGCTTCCCAGGGTCAAATCAGACAGGAAAATAAGTGGGCACCAAACAGCTGTAACTCAAGAGGGAAGCTGAATGTTTCAACAAGAGTAATGTTGTAAAAAACACCTGTGTGTTGGGAACTAAAGGGCAAATTTGCTATTTTGCAAGTGAAATAACCAAGTCGTCTTAACTCTCTGACAGCATGTGCTAATGTTGAGCAACCAGGACTACCCCTCCCACAGGAAAAAACCCAGGTTTTGGACTCAAAACTATCTGAGACAAACACAGCTATGGCCCCACATACTGTACAAATCCAGCTCTGTGACTAATATAATAGTATTGCCAAGACAACAAAGTCACAAGCTTCAAGGATCAGATGTGGTACCACATGCAAATCGATTTTCGGAACCAATTTTTACCTAAGGAGGGGAATTTCAATTCTTCCAAAAACAGTATCAGATATAACAACAAGTGGGCAGAATTCACTCAGTGAGACACAAACCCTCCTCAATCAGAGAGCACTACCCCAAAGACTGTTTATAGACCAGTTTTACATGATCCCACAGCACAGCTAGCACTGATATGAAGTTTTTACTGCTCCACTCTTCCCCTCTAGACAACATACTTCATTCATTTTTTCAAACACTGCACAGCAGGGCACAGCAGGACTCTGCTTTTCTGCCAGATGTAGAACAACACAACATCCTAAACCCTGCTAAACCCAGCATCATCCTACTGCAAAATAACCATGTAGCTGGAAGATGTTATCAGGTAGCACATGCAAAGACTTTACCTTCAGGCTACGAGTATCTGACAGATACAAGCTCACTCCAGAAGCCTCCTGCCCTCATAGAACGAAACAGGAAAAGGCAAAACAGGTTGAAAAAAACCAGGGCACGTTAGGTGACTCATCAAAAAGCTGAGGTGCCCCCAGACTTAACCCCTGCACAATTCTTGCATCCCAATATGGGCTGAACCCCTCTGTTTCCTTAACACTCCCCTCCCCAGCAGTGTGCTGCCAGTACATTTTACAGGAGAGATCTGTTAGAGCACTCCTATCTATCACTCCTGCAGCTCTGAACTGTGCTGCTGGTACAATCCCTTATCAACAAAAACAGTCTCTACTGGGCAGGAAGGGAAAAAAAGGAACAAATGAGCTCAAAACTGAGCAGAGACCAAGATGTCATGATATGTCATCCAAGGTTAGCAAGAGCTTACGGAGTCATCCATCATTTTTATTCCGAAGGGAGACTGTTGTTTTAAAATTGAGACGGAGAGAAATATTTGAATGTGTTATCCAATGTCTGCAGCTCAACAGCTTCATACAGAAAGGTGTCAGAAGGCTGAGGCTGCGGATCAGAGCAGCGCAGGGCACAGACAGGAACTCATTTCAAGCTTTACTGACCGCATGTGCCCCTCAGGTAAACAGCCAACAGCTCACGCCCCTTCAGCAACCAAGTGTGCAATAACTGCACCCAAATTTTAGTTGATACAGGCTTGTCCACCCCTCCCAAAATAAGCAATGCTTGGGAGCGTGAAAAGCACCAAAGGCAGACCACAAAAACAAAAAGCTTTAAGCACTAGGATAACTTTCTGGGTCTCACAGGAACACATGCAGGAATTCACATTCCACATCCATCAGATCCTTCATTTCCTGCCTTATCTGCAGTAAGATGCATGCTAAGAGGCTCAGGGTTATGCAGCAGCTGCGCTCCCAAAATGATTAAAGGAGCAAGAGAAAAAAAGTCCCAGTCCTCTACCTAAAACTAATCCCTCCTCCAGGTCTATATTAGACAACCCAAAGGCAAAAATAACAGCAGCTTTATAGGTCCTAATGTGGCTTTCTCAATACTGCCTGGGTGACAAAGTTAACCAAAGCCTTGCTGAAAAAAATCAACCTTTTGGCTACCAGTGAGTGCTCTCTGATGGAAAAAGAGGGAGCAGCTCCTGCTCTCCAGGTATGTAATTATCAATAATGGAATACTAACAACTTTAGGAGATTGAGTCTCCAAACCCTAATTAAAATCAGGAAAGAAGTTGACCAGGAAAAAAGAAAAAAAACACCCAAAGCATGAAAAAAAGGTGAACAACTTACTCTAGAACCCAAGTAAAACATGCTGCTAACTCATTACCTGGAGTACCAGTGCAGCAGAGCTTTTGTGAAAAACAGAGCATTCTCTGCATAAAAAATTTCTTACTACAAGCAAAGCATTTAAGAGACACATTTGCAAGTGCTTCTGGCAACATCTATTTTACAAATTATGAGGGGACTCCTTTATGTGGGGCTGCCTTAAGTCTGACACAAAGCAGCTCACCTTTTCCAGCAAGAAACAGATACTTTCCTCTCTATCCCGACTTCTGCTGCATGAAACACTGAATGTCTTTCCTGGCTCTAAAACTGGTTATCCTAAAACCTCCAGGCTGGAATCTCAGCGATGAAAACTGCAGCGAGCTTCCCCAGGCAGCCCCAGCAACCCAAGCCACCCACCTCAAACATGCTGAAGGGCTCCACTTATCTGTCTTTACCTCATTTCTGCTCCTGTACTCAATCTGTTAGATTTTAGTCTCTCTTAAACAGGATGCTGGAACCCTGGATGCTGAGAATTTCAGACTCTCTGTGCTCACAAACACTGACCCCCAGGAGAACACAGCATTTGACCTGAGGTCATTCCGAAATTGAATAACAGAACTAAGATTATGAGTGTGCAGTTTGAATAGAAGTGTGCAATATCACTCAGTAGAAAACTTGGAGTTCAAAGTTTTAAAATATAATAATATATATAAAGCTACGATAAAAGTTTTAAAGTAGTAACTAGTCTTTCTTCCCCTTCTTCATGAGTTTGAGTAGTATTTTGTAATTAGGCAGAAAAGTCTACATTAACAAGACACGAGTGATTAGTTAAGTTAAAAGTAACAATAATTTAAGTGTCATTTCTTAATTAGATAGTTTTTCCTTAAAAGACCTTGTAAAGATAGATACGAAGCCATTTTTGTAACTTGTTAGTGAAATAATGTAGAACTCACAACTTGTGAGACTGTAATATAAATAAAAAATAATAAATATCTAAGTCCAAACACAAAGTACCATCTCAAATGCTTTCAATCCCAACCACAACAAAAAAAAAAAAAAAAAAAAAAAAAAAAAAAAAGAAAATAAAGAATCAACACAGTACCTTGATCCTAAATTATCAGAGTTCCCTTCTGTCCCTGCCCTTTTCCTTCCCCTGCACACCAGCTGTCTGCAAAGTAAAGGGCAAAACCATGCCCTGACCAGAAACCTGCTGTCTGAGGGATTTGATGTGTGACTTCCCAACACAGCCAGTGGTTTTGCACCAGCACACAATCTCTGACTGGATTGAAATACATTGAGCTGTGAGGGGCTGACTGGGGCCAGCTGCTCGCTCGCTCCTCGGGAATAGGACAGCAGGATGCAGGATAAAAGGATGAAGGCGGAGAGATCAGTCACCACTCCTCACTGGCTTAACAGACTGCACTAAGGGAAAGTTGATTTACTGCCAATTAAAGTAGATAATATCAAGAAACAGCCTGAAATTAACACTTTGCCCCTAACCCAACCCTTTATCCAGGATCCAACTCTGCTCAGAAACCCCTTAGACACAGCACACTGAGATTCCTCATCCCCTGGGTACCCCACAGAGACTCCTCAGCCCCAAACACCCCACAGAGATCAG